CCTTTGGGGGGCACACACCTCCCATTTGTGCCGTTTTGGGTTGGTTTTCTCCTTTTACAGCCAGCTGGGTCACACACACCAGGATTCCTGAACTCCTCCTGCCTGTGTGTTGTCTCCTCGGGCCTCTGCCCACATTTATGGCTCTGCCCCGAAGTCCCAGCAGTTTATGATTAAGCCCGGGGCTGGGGATGCTGAGCAGGAGCTGTGTCCAGCAGGAGTGATGCCACAGGGGCTCAGGACATTCACCCTCAGCCGCGGGTGCTTTGGGGTGGGATGGCATCACCTGGGTCCCTGCAGGACACCAGGGTGCCTGCCCAGAGGACCTGCTGCCCTGCTGGGCTCCATCTCTGGTGTTTTCCTCCCCCTCCCTTTGTCCCACATCCCAGCACTGCTCTTCCCCTGCAGCTTGGTTCATTTTGGGCTCTTTGGGCCCTTGGGTCCATCTCCACACACGAGAGTCTCTGAACCCCCTCCCCTGCTGAAGATGCTGAACCAGATGAAGGAACCAGGGCAGTGCTGGGGCTCACAGACCCTGCTGGGTCTTTGCAGGCCAGGGAGGGTTCTGTGGGTTTGGGACTTGCAGGGAGCTCCCTGCAGGAGCCAGCACAGCGTCAGCATCACCTCTGCCACAGCCACCCCTGATCCTTCCCTGCAGGCCTGGGGGGGCTGACCTGAATTCACACTTCTTCCTACAGATTTGTTGGCTTGGGGTGTTTGCTCCTTGGTTTTCCAGAGGAGCAGTGAGCACTCCGGCATTGCTGAGCCCCGTTCCCTTCCTGCCCCATCTGCGTGTGTGAGTGCTGGGAGCTGGGAACGGGTTTGTCAGCGCCTCGGCGCCTTTCAGGGTCCTCGCAAAGAGCAGATTTATTTTCTGCTGTGCTGAGAATTAGCTCCCCTTTCTTCCTCTTCCCTCTGCCCCCGCTGGAAAGAGAGAGAATGCAGGGAAGAAGAAAGGATTTCCATCGCGGCGGTGATTGGCACAGCCCTGAATGAGAGGTCATTCCAGCCGGCTCTTTCTTTTCAGGGCCCTTTTTTCCTGCTCCCTGTATTCAGGCTGGCAGCATTCTTTCCTTTCAAAGCTCCTCTGTCTGTCTCTCTCTTCCCCCTCCTTTATTTTTCATCCCTTTTCTTTACTTTTGCTGTCTTTTCATTCTGTTTTTCTCCACCCCCTTGGGGCTCCATTTTTTTCTTTCCCTTTTCCTCTATTCAGTTCCTTTTTTTTTCTTCTTGCATCTCTTTTGAATAGCTCGGCTATTTTCGGAGAGGAAAGGGACTGTGCCGGGGAGAAGCCGTTACAGCAAGGAGGAACTTGAAAGTCTTTTCTTTCCCTGTTTATTTCATTTAAAAGCAAAAATTGTTTTCCAAGGCAGAGCGAGGGTTCTGTGTGGAGCCTTTGAAGCCAGGCTGGGACAGCAGCAGGGCTGGGGGCCCTCCCTGCTCCTGGCAGTGCCGAATTTTCTGCCGGTCCCAAACCCCTGACACAGCCCTGGAGCACTGAGGCTCTGGGGTCGGTGCTGCCTTGGCTGTGGGTGCTGCCAGGGGGGTCCAGGCAGCAGCAGCCCCTCTCCCCCAGCTCACCCCACACCAGTTACTGGTTTAAAGGCTCTTCCTGCCCCTGGGCTCAGGAGCAGCTGCATTTTTAGGGATGACCATAAGCTCCAAAGGCAGATCCTGGGGCTCTCCACAGCAGTACACCCAGGGATGGGAGTGGAGGGGCCGTGTCTGTTCCAAAGGGGAATGGGGGGTTTACACAGGGAGCCCCTCAGGACATATGGGACGTGCCAGGTGTGCATTTGGGGAATTTTTGGGATTTAAAAAAAATTTTTTAGAATTTTTTAGGGATTTTTTTTTTTGCGTGGTTTTGAGATTTTTGCGGATTTTTCATGCAGGTTTTGGATCATGGACACTGGCCATGGCCGGTCCCTGCACTCAGGTCAGAGGGACACGAGGTGCCAGGGGTCAGTCCCTTCCCCAGGGGAGTGAGGAAGGGTCTCACACACATCCAGAAGACCACGGTGGTTCTGGTGGCTCAGCAGGTGAGGCTGGGCTCAGTGTCCTGCTCTAGGTGCCACCAGGGCTCAGCCCGCTGTCACCACTGCCCCGGTGCCCTGGTGCCGTGCTCAGGAAGGGCTGTGAGGGCACAAGGGCTGGAAGATCAGCCCTGAAGCATGGCCAGTGCCAGGGAGGAGAAGCTGAGCCCTTGGCACAGCAGCAGGAGCTCCTTGGCAAGGCAGGTGGGGCCAAGAAGAATCCCCTTCCCAAAATGTTCCCACCCTGGGCACGAACCATTGGTGGCTTTGGTGCAGTTTTGATGCAGCTTTGGTGAGGTTTTGGTGCAACTTTGGTGAGGTTTTGGTGCAGTTTGGATGCACCTCTGACTGCTCACAGCACAGGTTTTCCACCCCCTGGCTACAGTAGAATGCTGGCTGCAGCGTTTGCTCTGCTCAGCCCGTACAAAGTTCCCTGAAGAGACTCCCCAGAGCAGGGACGGGCTGGTGGCCACGGGGCTGCTCCACTGGGCTCCTGGCTGTGCCAAACACAGTCCCTGCTCCTTCCACTGCTCCCAGAGCCCAGAGCTGCTCTTCCACCCATGTTCCACTCCCCCGTGCCCAAATGGATGCAATCAGGACTCTGGTTTTCAGGAAACACCTTTTCCACATGAATTTTAGTGTCCCCTTGTTTTGAATTTGAGGGTGATCCGTGGCACAGGAGCTGCTGACCTCTGTGTTAGGATCATGGAGTGACAGAATCCCAGGTTTGGAGGGACCTCAGGGATCACCTGGCCCAACCTGTTCTGGGAACAGTCGGGACAAGAGGGGCTGGAGGTCAGGGCTGTCAGGGGCTGGAGAAGGGGTGGCAGGGCAGTGTCACCCCACTGTCCCTGGCCAAGAGGCACTGGGGGTGTGGGCAGGGGTCCCGTGCCTGGCGTGGGGCTGTGGGAGCGGGGCCAGGGCCCCCTGGTTAATTAAACAGATCATTTCTTTAAAGTGAGATTCAAATAATTGTAACCCCGAGATAGAGAAGGCTTTGGGGGAGATGAAAAGGGAGAGAGAGAGAAAGGAAGCAAAGGACAGAGGTTCAGAATGGAGAGGGAGATTAGGAGAGAGATGAAAGAGAGAAGAGAAAGATAAGAGGGAGAGAGGGGACAGATCTCGGCGCGAGATGGGCGTTGCCAGGGAAACGGGAAGAATGAGGGAGCAACTGGAGGGATGGAGGAGCAGAGGATACTGGGGGTGGGGAGCGAGGGATGCAGGAACAGAGGGATGGAGGCTGGATGGAGGGCGGGGGACTGAGGAGCAGAGGGGTGGATGGAGGAACAGAGGGATGGAGGAGCAGAGGGATGGAGGAGCAGAGGGATGGAGGAGCAGAGGGGATAGAGCCTCAGTGTCAGAAGGAGGAAAAAGGGGATTTCCAGCAGAACAGGAAGCAGGAGTGGGATGTCACAGCTCAGCACAGGTGCCTGTGTGCTGGATAGAGCATTTGGGGTGGCAGCTCTGTCCCTCTGCAGTGATTCCTGCTGCTGTCCTCTCACCCCAGGTGCCAGAGGTGGATCCATATCCCTGGGCACATAATGGAGGAACCAGGCAGCTCTGTGCTCATCTCACTTCTGTTCTGCAGCACTGGTAACCTCTGGGTATTTGAAAGCCATTCCCTTTTCCCTCCCAGTCAGAGTTTGCCAATAACCATACATTTTCAGAGGGGTAAATATTTACCTCTGGTTGGTGGACACAGTGATCAGAGTGAGAATATCCCACTTCTGTGGAAGTGCCCATGAAGAGGCCGGGGAGGGTTTGATGTGCTCTGATAACGCCCTGTCCTTCACCAGCCCTTGTCTCTCCCAGAGCCTCACTTTCCCCAGCTTGGTTTTCCACCTGCTCTTATTAAAAACAAGATCAACATCCCTCTGCAAATCCCAGGTTGTGTCCTTTGTTTTGTGAAGCCAAAGCCCCCGAAGCCTGCTCTTCCTCCCCCCTGGAGCCCTTCAGTGACACGTGTGGTGTCACATTTGCCACTGGTTGGGATTGCAGGGACTGGCCACGCTCTGATCCACTGACGGTGGAGGTTTCTTTTTTCTGGAGAAGTTTTCCTTAAGAAATGTAGTTTGACAGTATCTGGTGTGGAGACACAGACTGGATTTAAGCAGGTGTTTGTTTTCTGTGGCAGCAGCACCTGGCCCCCTTGGCTGCTGCCCATTTCTCAGAGCTTTGGTTCGTTTCTACAGCAGTTCCTCTGTATCAGGGTCAGTTCTGGGGCAAGAAGTGCCACTTTTGGCTCTGCCATGGTGTGTGGAGCCACTCTGTGGGCCAGCCCCTGGCACACACCACCAGCACAGGGCCAGGGCCAGGCAGTGCAGCTGAGCTGACACCCAAATCCTGGGGCTGGTGCAGGACAGACATGCTGGGTCAGGTTTAAGAATAATTTTTTTGGATTTTCAGGAAAACAACATTTTCCTGTTTGGAATTGTGGGGGGTTGAGCAGCTTTATGTGAAATCTGCAGGCAAGATGAAAGCCTGTTTTCCCCTTTATTAAATTTAAATGAAGGCTGCTTTTGAGAAAGAAAGGAAAATAAAATCAAAGGTTTTCTCACAAGTATCAGATCCATTATCAGCCATTTTCTGGTAAAAAGTCTTGAACAGTTTTACTACCTTCTTCCCCAGTGAGAACCTCCCATGCCCAGGGTCTTACTTTGATCTGGGGCTCGATCCTGTGCCTTGGCAGCTTTTCCCCCAAGGTCTGCCCCACCCAGGTTCCCTGGGGAACCTCCCAGGACCCCCAGGCACTGGGGCAGGGGGGCTGCAGAAGGGTCCTGCAGAGACCCCTGCAATGGGGGTCCCACAGTGGGGGTCCTGCTAAGGGGATAGCCAGAAGCAAGTCCTGCACGTTCTCTTTCCTGTGGCACCAGGCTTGTCAGCAGCTGGGAACCTGTGCAGGTGAATTAAATTGCTGCTGGTGCCAGCCCTGGCTCTGGCACCTGCTCAGGTGGCTGCCCTTACCCTGATGAGCTGGGATAAGACAGAGCAAAGTGAGTATTTGGGGGAGCTAATCATGGAGCAAGAGAGGAAAAGAGAAGTAAAACAGCACAAAGAAGTGAAAGCCATGAAAAGAAACTGCTTTAAGTGACCAGGTGGTGAGTGAGGAGCTGGTGGAGGCTCTGAGGGGGCAGCCAGGGCACGGGAGGGCAGGGTCTGCAGGATGTGCCAGGGCAGAGCCTGGATCTTCCCTGATGTGTTGGGAAAGACGGGAGGAGAGATTGCACCAAAACTAAACCTCGGTTTTGTGGGAGCAGGAGGAGAAATGATGAAAGAACCCAAATTTCACAACCCTAAAGGATCAGGGACAGCAGCCACCACTGGTGGCCCCAGGTGAGGGGGAGATGGATGAGTGCCCTGGGAGCTTGGTACGTGCCACCATGGCACTGAGGGGACATTGGCACTGGTGTGTGACCCTGCCACGTGGAGAAGGATGGGCAGGCGAGGATCTGCATCAGGAAATGAGCCTGAGGGACCTGAGCCTGGCCCAAAGGGCTGGACTTAAAAACCAGAGGTTCTGAAGGGCTGGAGGAGAGTTTGGCTCCCAGCAGCAGCGCTGGAGAGGGACCCTGAGCACGGTGGGTGAAAGGTCTGGAGGGCTGGGCAGGGCAGCAGGAGGAGGTGCTGGGATCAGTGCTGGGATCAGTGCTGGGACAGGAGTGTCTGCACAGGGCTGGGGGCTCTGCTCCAGCCCTGGGCATGGCCCTGCACAGGGCTACTGGCCACGGGGCTCTGCTCCCTTTGGGCTCCTGGAGCCAGGCTGGCAGCAGCTCCCCGGAGCACAGAGGTGCTGGCAGTGCTCTGCACTCTGGATTTTCCTGGGGAGCTGGAATACGTGACCCTCCCCTCACTCAGCAGTGTGTTGGGAAATGCAGTTTCCAGCTGCCTCGGCAAGTCCCGAGGCGAGAACAGGGAAGTGAGAGCGGGAAGTGAAGCAGCTGCCTCTGCCCTGTTCTGCTTCCCTGTGAGCTGTTTGTGCAGCTGCTGCTCTGGAGAGCCCCAAACCTACACACACACAGAGCACCCTAAATCTGCACACGGAGAGCACCCCAAATCTGCACACACAGCACCCCAAATCTACACACACAGCACCCCAAATCTACACACACATGTCAGCAAATCTTCCCACCGTGTCCCGGGGCTGTGTGTGCCATGGGATGGGTGCAGAGAGGTTTGTGCAGCACAAGGCTTTGGTTTCCCTGCTGAGGAGAGGAGCTCAGCCCCTTTCCCAGCGCCCAGAGCAGGGACCCACGTTTACTTTCCCCTACAAGCCTCTGTTTTGGGGTGTTTGTAGGACTCCCCGGCACTGGTCTGGGGAATATGTGGGTGCGTTGTTGTGGCAGCCGCCTTGTCTTGTGGTGCTCGTTTTGGGGGGCACAGACCCAGCTAATGCTGGTGGGGGCTCAGTGACCCCTCTGCCATACTGGGGGGGCTCAGTGACCCCTCTGCCATGCTGGGGGTCCCAGTGACCCTTCTGCCGTGCTGGGAGAGCAGCTGGGTCCCCTGTCCCGTGTCCCTCCTGCTCCTGCAGTGTGCAGCTCGGGGGAGCCCCAGGGGAAGGGGGTCCGGCCCCGGGGCTGTGCAGTGCTCCCATAGCCGCCTCCCTGGCGGATCGCTCTCCTTCCTCCCCACCCTCCTCCTCCTCCTCCTCTTCCCGCCGCCGCCCTCCCTCCCCCACTCCTCGCTTTGTTCCGCTGCCTCCGCTCCAGTCCTCCCCTCATCCCCTTCCTTCTCCTCCCTCTCCCGCCCCCATCCTCTTCCTCTCCATCTCCTCCCTGCCGCCTGTATCCGCCCATCCCATCCCATCCCATCCCATGTGCTGTGGCCTGTGTTTGGGTGTGCAGGGCACTGGCATGAGGGGACATTTTGGGGTCAGCAGGCGCACAGACAATGTCCCCGGCCCTGCTCAGTGTCCCTGTAGCCAACCTGGCTGCAGGGATGATGCCCAGGCACTGTGGGGTTTCCCTTCTCCGAAGTGGAGATTCATCCCGCCATCTCCTCATGCTGGGCAGGTTCTCCTGGGACTGTGACAGGATCTGGCTCAGAATTTATCCCAGTTTCACCTCCCCCGCAAGATTCCTTTGTTGTAGCTGTAGGAATAATTGTATTTAGGAGAACACTCCTTCAGCAGGAGGAAGTGGCAGCTCCCAGGTCCCTGTCTGTGCTCACTGGCTGCTGGGGGAGGACGCTGGGATCCCCAGGGTGGGTGTGCCAGCCCCCAGGGCTGAGCCCAGCACAGCCTCTGCCTGTGCCACATCTGGCTGTGTCCTGCTGCTCCTGCTGGGTCTGAGCCGCGTCCCTCGTGCTCCCTGTGCCCTGTGCTGTTGCTGCCACACTCAGCCGTGCCCGGTTCCCAAACTGCAGGCATTTGTTCCCTGGAGTCACACCCAGGAGCCTGGGGGCATGCAAGCAGCCAAACCCAAGCCCCAGGAGCTAACAGCCCATCCCGAGAGGCTGACAATGGGCCGGGATCCAAGCTTCCCTCCTCCTCCCAACCCTGCAGTGGAAACCCCTGGGGCCACTCTGTCCCCACGTCCCGGGCTGTGTGGTGCTGGGGACCCACGCTGGCATCACCCGTGTCAGTCTGGGGGTCACTGTGGGAGCAGTGAGGGCTGGACCGAGCCCCTGGGGCACAGAGTCTGTGCTGGTGCGAGCCAGGGGCTCAGGGCCGTGTCTGTCCCTCCCCAGCCATGACAGCGTAGGCCGGCGGCGAGACATGGATCGGTTCAGCGAGTGCGGGACGCAGACGGACGCCGTGGTGGTGCTGTCCCTGGCACAGGCTGCCGTCCTGGGCCTGGTGTCCGACAATGAGCTGCTCGGGGCCACCGTCACCCCTGCCGGCTTCTTCCCGGGGCTGGCCGGGGAGCAGCTGGACAATGCCACCGTGGAGCCTGGGGAGCCCGAGGGTGAGGAGCAGGCGGCCGGGGACGGGCAGGACGAGGATGCCCTGGAAGCAGACTCCTCCCTGGAGAAACATGCCCGGAGGAGGAAGAGGCCACCTGTGAGGCTGATGCCCAAGGTCAAGAGCGAGAAGGCAGAGGTGGAGGCTGAGCCGCCGTACAACGTGCCGGTCCCCGGGGACGAGGAGGGCGAGGGGCAGCCCGGCCACGCTCCCCAGCCCCCCGAGCCCAGCCAGGAGCCGGCGGGGCAGAGCGGTGCCGTGAACATGATCGACCTGGACACGTTCAGCAGGAAGCCCCGACGCCTGCGGCACCTGCGCCGGCACCGGGAGCTGGAGGGCACCGAGCGCCGGCGCAGGGGCAGCGACCTGGCCAGCAGCACCGTGGGGGCCCCACAAACCGTGGGCACCTTCGAGGCGAGTGCCCCATCCCCTGGTGAGGCGGAGGCCCCGGCGCCGGCGTCCCCCGAGCAGGTGAAGAGCGAGCAGGGCTGTGGCTGGCAGGAGCCGGGGGAGCTGGAGGCGGCCGGCGGCACCAGCGAGCACAGCAGGAAGGCGCAGCTGGACCGGCTGGACATCAACGTGCAGATCGACGACTCCTACCTGGTGGAGGCGGGCGACCGCCAGAAGCGCTGGCAGTGCCGCATGTGCGAGAAGTCCTACACCTCCAAGTACAACCTGGTGACCCACATCCTGGGCCACAACGGCATCAAGCCCCACTCCTGCCCGCACTGCAACAAGCTGTTCAAGCAGCCCAGCCACCTGCAGACCCACCTGCTGACCCACCAGGGCACGCGGCCCCACAAGTGCGGGGTGTGCAGCAAAGCCTTCACTCAGACCAGCCACCTGAAGCGGCACATGCTGCTGCACACCGACATCAAGCCCTACAGCTGCCGCTTCTGCGGCCGCGGCTTCGCCTACCCCAGCGAGCTGAAGGCGCACGAGGTGAAGCACGAGAGCGGGCGCTGCCACGTGTGCGTGGAGTGCGGGCTGGACTTCTCCACGCTCACCCAGCTGAAGCGGCACCTGGCCACGCACCAGGGCCCCACGCTCTACCAGTGCCTGGAGTGCAGCAAGTCCTTCCACTACCGCAGCCAGCTGCAGAACCACATGCTGAAGCACCAGAACGTCCGGCCCTTCGTCTGCACCGAGTGTGGGATGGAGTTCAGCCAGATCCACCACCTCAAGCAGCACTCGCTCACGCACAAGGTAGGGGCTCAGGGTGCTCTGGGGTGCTGCCCTCAGCGGGCCCAGAGATGTGCCAGCTCTGGGTGTGGGTGCTGGTGGAGTGTCCCAGTGCCCCCAGTCTTGGGAGGAGGTGGGTGGTGCAGGTGGGCAGTAGCACCTGTGGCTGGCATTAGCTGGGGTCGCTGGCATGCAGTGAGGGGGTCCCTGGGACCCAGCCCTTGCCCTTCTGGGGCTTCCCTTCCTCAGGGAGGGAGGTTTACACCTGCTGCAGGGTAACCTGGGCAGTCCTGTCGAGGAGCTGTCACAGCCCCTCTGGACAGTCTGTGTGTGGGTGTTTGCCCCTTTCCTTGGGCTCGTTAATGGGGAGCAATTGGGCTGAGCCCCAGAGCAGAGCTGGCACTCAGCTGCCCTCACAGACCCTGTCCAACCCACAGCCCCTGCATGTTGCTGGGCTCTCAGATGCACCCCGTGCTGTGCTGAGCCCATCCCTTGCCCGTGGGGTCCCTTCTCCACTCTTGGCACCGCCCATGTACCCCCAGTGCCTGGGGTCTGCCCAAGCTCCCCCCCGGCCCACAGCTGTCCCACCCCTGGCAGGGCGTGAAGGAGTTCAAGTGCGAGGTGTGCGGGCGGGAGTTCACCCTCCAGGCCAACATGAAGCGGCACATGCTGATCCACACCAGCGTCCGGCCCTACCAGTGCCACATCTGCTTCAAGACCTTCGTGCAGAAGCAGACGCTCAAGACGCACATGATCGTGCACTCACCAGTGAAGCCCTTCAAGTGCAAGGTACCGGGGGGCTGGTGGAGCTGGGCACAGGGGGGCACAGCTCCTGCTGTGCTGTCCCCCAGGAGTCTGGCCAGGCTGAGTGCTTGGCCGTGGAAGCAGCTTTGTGATGCCTCCCCTGCTCGCTTGGGCATGGATTATCCACTCCAAGCTGTGGTGGGAGCATTGCTGCTGCTGAAATGACAGCCAGTGCGTCTCTCTGACCAGTGCTGGAGCTCTGGAGCTCCCAGCAGCATCTACACTGCGTCCCCCAGCTCTCCACACAGCGGGAGGAGGGAGGGAGCCCTGTTACCCTCAGCAGGAACCACGGGGGACTCCAGGAGGGCAGCAGCCGTGTTCTCCTGCTGGGAGCCCCAGGGGACCCTGGGGGCCAGGTCTGCTCTGCAGAGCCTTTGCCAGCCCTGGGGCTGACCGTGGTCACGCTGCCTGCAGGTCTGTGGGAAATCCTTCAACCGCATGTACAACCTGCTGGGGCACATGCACCTGCACGCCGGCAGCAAGCCCTTCAAGTGTCCCTACTGCTCCAGCAAGTTCAACCTCAAGGGCAACCTCAGCCGGCACATGAAGGTCAAGCACGGGGTGATGGACATCAGCCTGGACAGCCAAGGTGGGTGCCTGGCACGGGCTGGGCGTTGTGGCTACTCTTGGCCCTGGGGGCTGTGCTGTGCTGCCTGCAGCAGGTTCGGGTCTGCTCACCCGAGGGCTGCCCCCACCAGGGCTGTGGCTCCTGGGCTCCAGAGCCAGGGAGGGGGGAGCTGCTGGCCCCTGCCCTCCCACAGGTCCGTGACTGCGTGTCCCTGTGCTGACTCGTAGATGCCATGATGGAGCTGGCCGGGGCTGACCACGCCGAGCTGGATGGCCAGCAGGAGATGGATGACTTCGAGGAGGAGAACTCTTACGGCTACGGGGCTGTGGGCAACCCCCCAGACGAGCTGGCCGAGCAGGCCATGAAGGAGATGGCCTACTACAACATGTTGTAGCCAAGGCTGGTGGGGCTGTGGGGGCTTGCTGGGGTTAAAAGGGGCTGCAGCACCCAGCCAGGCCCCCCAGAGTTGGAGGGGTGGCTTCCACTGGGCTTGGGAAACGCAGGGATGTCCAGAAGACTTTGCTGGACCTGCCTTGGCTCTGTTGCTGCCCCCCTGCCCCTGCCTGCACCCTGCACCTGAGACTTGAAGCTGCAGGCAGGGGAGATATGACCCAGCAGATCACTGAATAAGGATGGAAGGGGCTGCTGTGGAGCATGATGATGAGCATCACTAATTATTCTACCTCCTGGGTCCCCCCTTCGCTGCACAGGGGTTCCCCCTGACGGGCAGAAGCCCCTGCCCACATGAGGAGGTGGGTTTGCATTTCCCACTCGCCCCGGGGCTCCCTGCCAGCCCCTGGGATGCAGAACAGAGTATTTTCATAGAAGCTCAGGGCGCAGTCAGCGCCCACAGCTCCGGGTCTGGAGCTGCAGCCAGCGGTGGATCCGGGGGAGGCAAACCTAGCCCAGCCCCAGCAAATGATGGTATTTTGAAAGTAATTTATTTTTTTCAGATGTGCCGCGTGGTTGGATTTATCTTTTCACTGAGTTCAGTTCCCTTCAACCAATGTGCTTTGTAAACCCGTGTAAGCTGTGTGGTCTGTGTGGGGAGAGGGGGTTGTGAGGGGCTGAGGACCAGAGCGGGGTCCTGGGCAGAGCCCCCCTAAGGAACTGGCACCCCCTCCTTGCCCCCCGGCTGCTCTGGGGCTGGAGGAAAAGACACAGGGGGCAGCCTGTGAGGTGGGGGTTTGCCTCCTCCATGCCCAGGGATTTGGCAGGGAAGGGCAGTGCTGAGTCTGGGACCTGTCTCTGGGCTCTTCACTCCCTGCTGTGGGGCAGAGGGCTCGCAGCACCCACAGCATTGACCCCCAGAGCTGGGTTGGGTCCTGGCAAGCATCAGGACCCAAGGGAGATCAGCCAGGGCACAGGGGCTGGGACACTGTGCTGACCCCACACACACCCTACCCTTTCTGTCAGTGGCTGTGTTCCCTGCAGCACCATCTGCCCCATCCCAAAAGCCCTGGGGTGGTCCTGGGTGTGGCACCACTCAGTCCCCCAAAGGCAGTGTGCCTTCTACCCCTACCACCCACCTTTTCTCCCCAGCCAGCCTTGGGGCAGGATGGAGATGGCCACAGCCTTGGTCAGCCCCAACCCTCCCTCAGCACGGCAGGGCTGTGGGACCCCCATGTGCAATTCAGGCAATGCCAAAATGCTGGAGTGCACGGCCCCCCCAGGCTGGCCAGGCCGAGCTGAGGGGCTTGGCTGCCCCCCTGCCCGCACTGCAGAGCTGTGCCAGGTGATGTGCCAGGCCTGGGGAGATGTTTAATGGCACCACACGGTTATGGGGTACATGAATTAGGGCACGACAAACACCCCCACACGCCCCCCACCCCTGCACTCCCCTGCTACAAAGGCTTTAAAAACACCCCTAAGAAAACTTTGGAAAAATTATTCAACTGTTCCTGAGCTGTGCTGGTGAGTTGAGGGGGGGCACTGGGCCCCTCCCAGCCCCATCCATCCCAGAGATGGAGAGGCTGTCCCCTATTTCTTGCCCAGAGCCTTGTCCAGGTTGTTCTTGATGGCATCGAGGAAGTCAGTCGTGTTCACAAAGTGCTCGTTCAGCTTCACACTGGAGAGACAGAGAGGGATTGGTGGGGGTCCCTGCCAACCTCCTCCCACAGGCACCACAGCCCTGGCTCCAGGATGTGGCCCCTGCCCACCCCAATCAGTTGTGAACAACCACCCCCAGTCCCTGGGGACAGTCCAGAGAGGCCAGCAGCTACCTGTGGCCACTGTGCACAGCCAGCTCCTGGTCACTGTCCTACTCTTGTGGCTGCCCTGCAGGGCCAGCCCGTCCTTGTGGTCACTACGCTGTTCTTGTGGCCACCCCCCTGCTCTGCCCTGAGAGCCACCCGTACTTGGCAAGGCCATGGATGCAGCCAGCAAGGTCCTTGGTCATGGTCCCGCTCTCCACCGTGTCCACACAAACCTTCTCCAGCGTCTGTGCAAACCTGGGGACGGCAGCACTGTGGTTCCAGCAGCTCCACGGGCCCTGCCACGACTGCCACCAGAGCAGCCACTGGCAGGGACCCTCACCCGGGGACCCCCAGCCCACCCTGCTCACTTGATGAGGTCAGGGTTACTGTCCAGCTTGCCCCGGTGCTCCAGGCCCCGTGTCCAGGCGAAGATGCTGGCAATGGGGTTGGTGCTGGTGGGCCGTCCCTGCACAGACAGAGTGGTCAGCTCTGGTGTGGGCAGCTCACAGCTCTGCTCCCTGGCACAGCACACTCACCTTCTGGTGCTCCCGGTAGTGGCGAGTGACGGTGCCATGGGCAGCCTCGGCCTCAATGGTCTTCCCATCCGGACACACCAGGACAGAGGTCATCAACCCCAGGGAGCCGAACCCTGCGGTGGGACAGGGCTCAGGACAGCTGCCAGGGGTGATGATCAGGGTCCACCACACCCTGCCCTGCTCCACCTTGGGCCAGGATGTCTGACTGGACATCCCCGTCGTAGTTCTTGCAGGCCCAGACAAAGCCACCGGAGGATTTCAGCATCTGGGCAACCATGTCGTCGATGAGCCGGTGCTCGTACCAGATCTTCAGCTTGTCAAACTCCGTCTTGTAGTGCCTGGGAGCCCGGGCAGGGATCAGCCATGCTCACCCCACATGGGTCTCACTGCCAGCACCCCCGGGACAGCCCAGCTCCCCCAAGGCCCATACTTATCAAAGATCTCCTGGAAGATGTCCTTGAAGCGGCCGTCATAGGCCTTGAGGATGGTGTTCTTAGTGCTCAGGTAGAGCGGCCACTTCTTCTGGATGGCGTACTGGAAGCAGCTGTGCGCAAAGCCAGAGATGGACTGCAAGGCAACGTGAACCTCGTGGCACCCTGTCCCTCAGCCTGGCATCTCCCCCAAGGTGGCCAGGCCCTGCAGGGAGCCCCTGAGCCCCAGCAGTACCTCGTCTGTGTTGTACATGCCCATGCCCACGCCGCCACCGGGGAAGTTGAACACCTCCCACTCCTTGGCCCCGCTGCCGTCCTTGGGCGTGAAGACCAGCTTGAACGTGCCGGACTTGTCCACCACGAAGTCGGTGGCTTTGTACTGTGGGGGCCAGGCAGAGCGTCAGGCAGGGACTGGGGGGCTGCTGGCCAGCCCCAGGCTGCGCTGGCTCACCTGGTCACCGTGGGCATGGCGGCCAATGGTGATGGGCTTGGTCCAGCCGGGCACCAGACGAGGAATGTTCTTGCAGATGATGGGCTCCCGGAACACCGTGCCCCCCAGGATGTTTCGGATGGTGCCGTTGGGGCTCTTCCACATCTTCTTCAGCTTGAACTCTGTGGGGCATGCAGATGGGACCCCTGAATGACCCCCAGCCCTCCATGGCTCCTGCCAGCACGCAGCTCCGCTGTGCCAGGGCTGCTGCCAGAGCCTGCTGCAAGGAGAGGGGCAGCCAGCATGAGACCATGACTGGCACAGGGCAGTGTGTTCCCAGGGCCACGGGGTCCCCACAGCACCCATGAACCCCTAGGGTGGAGAGAGGGGCACAGCACTGGGTATGGGGCAGCCCCCAACCCACCAGAAACCAGAGCTGGCAGTGGGAAGGCACTGCTGACCCCAGGGCTGTGCACAGACAGGAGGCTCAGCACCCCAGAGCTACCAGCTCAGCCCCTTGCCCTGCCCACCTTCCACCCTGGCTTCATCAGGCGTGATGGTGGCACACTTGACAGCCACACTGTACTTCTGGGTGGCCAGCGCTGAGTCAATGGTGACCTGGTCATCTGTCTTGTCCCGATGTGGCAGCCCCAGGTCGAAATATTTTAGCTGGACATCCACGTTGGGCAGGATGAGCTGAGGGGCCAGGAGAGTGTCAGAATGGGGAGCCAGCCTGGGGTGCCTGGGGAGCCGCACCACGGCGTGGCCAGCCCTGGCACCCATCCCGGCCCAGCCTGGCTGCCTGCCCAAGATGGTCGCCCCTGGCCAAGATGGTTCTGCCGGCCAGGATGATCCCCCCTGCCTTGAACACGCCTCCCTGCATGAGACAGCTCCTGCTGACCAGGACCGCCTCACTTAAAGGTCCTTCTGGTAGCTGTGCCGATTTTATTACCTGCTTCCTGCAGACAGGGGGACAGAGGCGGGAGGGACAGGCAGAGGGCAGCACAGGGATCACCCGTTCCCGGTCCACCCCCCCAGCCCCTCTTGTGACACACCCGCCCGTTCCTGGGGCAGGACCCCATCACCTTCTCCTTAATGAAGGCCCAGATGATTCGTGTCATCTCATCCCCGTCCATCTCCACCACCGGATTTGCCACCTTGATCCGCTTGTCGGCATCTGGAGAGCAGGGGGAGTGTTAGGGGTGCACCCCTGGTCCCACAGCTCCACACCCTTGTGTGGGGCCAGGGCATCCTGTGGGGACCACACAGCTCCATCCAGCCAGGTGCGGGTGCCAGCCTGGCTCAGGGACAGGTACAGGTCAGGGGCAAGCCCCGCTGCGGTCTGGGCCAGTTACTGGGGCCAACCCTGCTGGAGTGGGGGTCAGAGTGCAGAACCCACCATGTGAGGGGGACAGGGATAGGGACACATTCCTCAGAGCGGGATCCGCATGCCATGCCTCACTGAGATGAACAACGGGACCAGAACCAGGAGCAGGTGCAGTCCCCTGGGGCCAGACTCAGGCACAAACCGGCGTGCAAATTCCTGTCATAATCCTGGACCAGGACTAAACCCCTCTGGGTGCCAAATCTGTCTGTGGATCAAGCTGTGAAACCGCACGTGGTAGCCAGAGCAGAGGTGACCCCCCCCGAGAGGGACCTGAGCACTGACAGGGAACAAAGCTCTGCGTGGCACTGGGGGCAGGAGTGAACCCTCCTGGGGGTAAAATCCCGCGTTGGTCCCGGACCTTGAGCGAACCCCCCACAGGCTCAGACTAGGTACGAGCTGGAGTGCGAAACGCCACGTGGAACTGGGACCAAACTCCCCTGGGACCAAACTCATCTGCGAAACCCATCGTAGAACCGAGACTAAACCCTCCAGGACCCGACCTAGCTACAAAACCCGGGCAAACGTGAGCGCGGATCCGATATCAGACACCGCCCCCCGAAAGAATCCGAGCCGCCCCCCCCCGTGGGTCCGGAGCACACCCCCCCGGTGGCGCGCACACCCCGGGCTGTCCCGGGCTGTCCCGGGCTGTCCAGGCTGTCCCCACTCACAGTGCCGGCGCTGCTCGGGCCGGGCGGGCAGCGGGCAGCGGGGCAGGCAGCGGAGCGCGGCGGCGGCGCGGAGGCAGCGGGCGGCCATGGCGTGGGCGGACACGACGGGGCGGACGCGGGGGCGCGGTTCTCTCCGCCCCGGGGCGGGACACAGCCCCGGATCCCCCCGTGGGGCCCCGCGAGGGCTCCGGAAGGGGCTGCTGGGGTCCCGCGCTGGGGCTGTCTCTGCATCCCGCCCCTGTGCCAGAGCACGGCGTGTCCGCGGTCCGCGGCGGTGCCCGTTCCCACCAAAGGGATGTCGCATCCTTGGCTACATCGGGGTTACGGATAAGGGGCCAAACCCCGCGTGGAACCAGGAGCAAAACCACCCGGGATCCAACCCGGCTGTAAAATGCCGTGTGGAATGGGGGCCGGGCCCGACTTGGCCCAGGACCAAACCTAGCTGTAAAACCCTGCCTGGGTTCTGGACCAAACCCCCGTGGAATCTGACTCGTTTGCCAAACCCCACAGGGATCAGGGACCAAACTCCCCCAGGATCTGATCCGGTAGTAAATCCCCTCGTGGAACAGGGAACAGAGCCCCCTGGGACCAGGCGTAGCTGCAAAACCTTGCCTGGGACCAGGAATGAAACCTGGGGAATCAGACACAGGTTAAAATCCCTCGTGGAACTTGGGAATGGCCCCATCCCCCCGGGACCAGACCCATTTGCAAAAGCCCTCGTGGAACCAGTATCAGACATCCTCGGGACTAAACCCAGCTGTAAAATCCCACGTAGAACTGGGACCAAACCCGACTGCAAAACGCCGTGTGAAATGGGGGTGGTACAGTGGGGCTGGGGACAGGCAGACTCAGCCTGACCCTACATGGAAGCCGGCGTCCCTGCTGATGGCTGGCGCGTGACTCGGCAGCTGGATCCAGCAGGACAAGGGCAACTGCCACTGTTCCAGCGGGGACCTTCACCTCGGCTGGCCCCGCGTGGGGAGCAGCAGGAGGAGGACAACGACGACAGCGACAACGACCACAGGGGTGATGCACACCAGGGGCACCCCGAGAAGGTGCATGCAGTGTGCCAGGGTTGCCAGGAGGCTGCTCGGGCTGGGAATTTGTTGTCCTGCTGTCCCAGCCAAGCCGATGGCTTTTTTTAGCCACATGGGACGGGCAGAGCCTGCTCCAGGAAGAAAAACAGCCCTGGAGCTGGCAGCCCCCAGCGGAGGGGCTGGAGGAGCTGCGGCAGTCGTTGACGTCTGCCCGGCTTTAACATTAACCAGAGCAGGAGCCGTGGGGCCGCAGTGCCGGGGGGGATCAGAGTGGTCCAGGGGGAGTCAGCAGTGGTCCAGGGGGATCAGAGTGGTCCAGGGGGATCAGCAGTGGTCTGGAGGGGGGGTCAGAGTGGTCCGGGGTCCTGGGTGTCCCTGCTCCCCCTCCCAGCCCGTGCTGCCAGCAGCCCTGCGGCCACATGCCAGCACTGCTCGGTGGCCTGGCCACCGCCCCAGCTGCCCCCCTGGCTGCCCTTGCCCTGGCCCCGCGGTCGGAGCCGCCCAGTGGCCGCAGCGCTGGCAGTGAGGTCAGGCCAGCGCAGCACAGTCCCCCCGCAAGGAAAGGACAAAAGTGGCCATGTGGCACAGGCCCAGGGCAGGCCCCAGACAAAGGCACCGCCCGTTCATCCCTGGCCACAGCCCAGCCACCCTCCCTGCTGTGCCACTCCAGTGTCCCCAGCGTGGCTGCCCTGGGGACACGAGAGTGCCGGCAGGGCTGGGTGTGGGGCCAGGACCTCAGGGAGGGACAGGTCCCACAGGTTTGGGACCCAGCCAGAGCATGAACAAGGACACGGTGTGGAGGCTGTTTGAGTTCCCTGCTGCCCGCAGGCAGGGCTGTGTCTGCCCGTGGAGGGGGCCCCGGGGGGCTGACAGGGGCCATGTTTCCTTGGGCCACCTGAAAACACAAGAAGCCTGCAGGCTGGAATGGGGGCTGCTTTGGCAACCATCCGACCTCCTGGGGCTGCCAGCATGACCCTGGGACCCCTCTGCGGACTCCTGCCTGCCCAGCACAGTGTTTCAGTAGCCGTGCTCCCAGCAGCTCTGGGCACTGCTGACACCAGCCACCAGCTCCGAGTGTGCCACTGTGGGGACACCATGGCCGTGGCATCCCTGAACCCCACAGAGACACGAGCCACCATAAAACGCCCAGACCCATGGATTACCCCAAAACTCCCTGAGCTGGCTATCACCACAAGATCTCATCATGATGCCTGGGGCCATGTGCACAGGCATTAGGTGTCCCCATAGCCACCCCTGCTACCAGCGACCCCAGTGGGTGCTGCCCCCCCAAACCAGGCTCCCCAATAGCCCCACGATGCTGGAAGCCCCTCAGTGTGCTGGGGCTGAAACACGCAGTCCTGGGCATACCAGCACGACCCCTTTAGGGCCGGGGCCATCCCAGGAACCGTGGAGGGCACAGACACAGTTCCGGCTCCCCAGGCAGGAGCGGCCGTCCCCAGCCCCTGCTCCCCCGGGCCCCCGGGCGGTGGCGGGGCCGGGGCGGGGAGGGGCGGGCCGGCCCTTTGTTGTGCTGCGGGCGGAGCCCCCCGGAGCCGCCCCCGCACCGCCCCGCACCGCCGGGGGGGGAAAACACCGCGGAGCCGCCCCCGGTGCCTGCGGCTCCCGCCGCGCCTCGGAGCCGCCGAGCGGGTGAGAGCGGGGAAGGCACCGGGCACCGGTACCGGAACCGGCACCGGCACCGGCGGGGGATGCGTGTGCGAGGAGCGAGTGTGCATGGGGCGTGCACGGGGCGGTGCGCGTGCATGGGGCCGAGCGAGGGGCGGCGCGCGCACGTGCACGGAGGTGGCCCGAGGGACCGGAGCTTGCCGGGGGCTTGCGGAGGGGCTGGGAGGGCGAGTGTGAGTGGGGGAACACGCGTGTGTGCCCGTGAGAGTGTGTGCATCACTGTGTGACAGCGTGTGTGCATCGCTGTGTGTGTGAGTGACAGTGTGCATGGCTGTGTGACTGCGTGCGTGCACCTGGGTGTGCCTGTGTGAGTCTGAGCAGGTGAGTGTGGGTGTGTGTTTTGTGTGTGTGTGTGCTGTGTGTGTATTTTGTGTGTGTGTGTTCTGTGTGTGTGTGTTGTGCCTGCACACCGGGGCCCATTCCCACAGCCCATTCCCTGGTCTGTGTTTTGTGTGTCTGTGTGTTTTGTTTGTGTTGTGTGTATTTTGTGTGTTTTATGTGTGTGTGTGTGTGTGTGTGTTTTATGCGTGTGTGTTTTGTGTGTGTGTGTTGTGCCGTCACACCGGGGCCCATTCCCACAGCCCGTTCCCAGGTCTGTGTTTTGTGTTTGTGTTTTGTGTGTTTTGTGTGTTTTGTGTGTTTTGTGTGTTTTGTGTGTGTGTGTGTGTTTTGTGTGTGTGTGCTCTGTGTGCGTATTTTGTGTGTGTTGTGCCGTCACACCGGGGCCCATTCCCACACCCCAGGTGTTCCCAGGTGTGTGTTTGCCGCCCAGGGCGTGAACACCCCGTGACCTCTGTGCGTGTGTTTACATGTGCCGGCTGTGCGTACACCAGGCCGAGGGTGCTCGGGACGGGCGTCACGGGCTGCTCACAGGGAGGCGTGTTAGTGCACGCCATGGTCGAGGACAGGCGTGTGCGTGGTGTGTCCCACGTGTGAGATGGGCCCTGGACACTGCGGGGTGCACGCGTGCTGTGTGTCCCAGACATGTGGCCACATCACCTGAGCAGCTGGTGGTGCCCAGGCAGCCCCTGGTCTTGGGGTGCAGGGAGGGTCGGGTCCCATGGGCTTTTGGGTCATGCCTTGGGCTCTAGTGCCTGCTCCGGCTGAGCCTGGGGCTGCTTGGGGGGCTGGCACCTCCTCTGACCCCAAGGAGCACCGGGGCAAGGGTAGCGAGGGTGCCATGGGACCACTGCTAGTTTGGGCTCTGCACAGTCAGGACCAGCTGGGAAAGGGGCATCCATCCCTGAGCCTGGACCCTCGATTTCTGCACTCCAGGGAGCTGACATGCCTGTGCTCCACCACCCCGCTGCCCCTCAAGGGTGCTCACTGGCTGGGGTTCCTGCTGGCTCTTCCCTGCCCTGTGCCAGGGTGCCCAACAAGGAGTGGGGGCCCAGGGCAGCACCCCTTGTACCCTGCAGCTCCCCAGGCAGGCAATGTGAGGTGCAGGCAGGTGCTGGCATTGCAGGGAACAGGTAGGCTGTGGGGATACCCTGTGGTCCTCAGAAGTGACTCTGCCACGGTGCAGGGGTGATGGGAGCAATGAGCCAGGTGTGTGTTGTGGTGCCCTGGGTGCAGGTGTGCCCTATGTGCCCTGCCAGGGCGAAGGGGATGCTGTGGGGGAGAAGGGGGCTGGCTGTGTGCCACCAACAGACAGCACCTAGCCAGGAGGTCCTGGCAGCGGGGTCTGAGCTCACAGAGGGCCAGAGAGGCAGGGGGGCAGCCGAGCTTGGCCCCGTGGGAGGCCCTTAGCTCAGGCAGGGTGTCACAGCTGGTGCACCTGGAATGGGGGATGCCCCGTGGGGAGCCCTGCCAGGCTGTGGGGCCACAGGCTGCCCCAGCCCCTCCCAGGAGGCTGTCAGGGCGCAGCAGAGAGGGGCTATGCAGGGGTATCCCCGTGCACCCAGTGCAACCTCAGGGCAGCTGGAACAGCTGGAGCAGCTGTGTGACTGTGCAGGGCCCGCAGCCGCGCTGCAGGTGTGCATGCATGCGTGCTCACACGCTCTGCGTGTGCATGGCTGAGAGCAGGGACTGCCGGCTGCTGTCTGGCAGCTCCCAGCAGCCAGCCGAGCCGGGGGCGTGCGTGTGAGCCCCGCAAGGCGGGGAGAGCCTGGGAGCGTGGGCTGTGTGCCAGCCGGGCGCAGGTCCCCGAGCAGGGGCCGTGCCCGTGCTGGGCAGGCTGCAGAGGAAGGTGGGAGCTCGTGGGCAGCAGCAGCAGCGAGGCACACACAGCTTCATCCTCGCTCTCTGCAGACAGCAGCAGCAGCAGCCAGATCCATCACCGCCTTCCCAGGCACCCACTGCCAGTGGGAACTGGGTGGCAGGCGCTGGCGTGGGAATTTGGTGCAGAAACCACTGCCCCACCTGCCTGCTGACCCCAGGCCACAGGTTTTGGTGCTGCCCAAACACCCGGCGAGGTTTCCCCGTTGCCGGCAGTGGGCAGGGAGGGTGGCAGAGCTGGTGCGTGCCGATGCCTGCAGCAGGGTGCGGGGCACGCACGGGCCTGTGCGAGGGCAGAGCGGGGCAGGGTGCTGCGGGTGCCCCCGGCGCTGCCCCGCTGGCAGCTGCGTGGGCAGGACGGGAGATAAATGGGAGTTTGGCGTAAACAGCCCTGGCTGCCAGCAGTGCTGGAGTGGCGCTTAAAGGCACAGGCTCTGGCCTGGTTCTGCTGCCTTTTCCTGCCCTCCCTCTCTGCCTGCTCTGCCCTCCTTTTCCTCCCTGCCTGCCCCTTCCCTTCCCTCCTGCTCCTGCCTGCTCACCCCAGAGCAGCTGCCCTCCCCGCAGGGGCTCCTGTCCTCGCTGCGTGCCATCACACGGGAATGTTGACACAGCACTGCCGCGGCCGTGCACAGGTGACAGCCGGGTCCCTGGAGCCCCCCGAGATGCCGTGAGTTGGCAGGGGGCCATGGCTGCAGGGCGAGTGCCTGCTCCCATCCCGTTCAGGGTGACGAGCTTGCCTTGGTGACGTAGAGTCCTGTTCGTCTGTCTGACTTCCCGGGCAAAGGTGCAGCTGATAAGACTGGGGTGGAGCTGTGGGGCTGTCCCAGGCCTGGGAAGGAACGTTGGGCTCATCGGGAGCAGTGGGGACAGGAAGGAAGCAAGGTCGATTTGGGGCAGAGGGGTACCCCCCACCCCAGCCCCTGGACATCAGGTATGGCCTGTCAGTGGGCACGGCCAGCAGTGCCAAGTGAGCAGAGTGTGGGAGTGTGGGCACAGCTGTTCCCAGAGTGTGGGCACAGGCATCCAAGGAGTGTGGATACAGTTGTTCCGGGAGTGTGGGGAGCGTTTCTCCTGGGCAGGGGGCTCACAGTGGGTCCCACCATTGCGGTCCAGTGCTAGGACTAACCAAGAAGGACATGGGAAGCTCTGGCCCACACTGGGAGGGCAGCACTGGGTGCCTTGGCCCCAGGAGAGCTGCCTGCTGCAGGGGAATCCTCAGACCCCATCCCTCCGTCCCCCTGTCCCCGTTGCCATGGCGATATAAGGAGTTGTCATTAATAACAGTAGTGTGGGAGCTGCTGGCCGTGTGGGCAGTGCTCCGAGGGCTGTGGGGGCTGTGAGCCCTCCCCACAGCCCAGCCAGGGACAGAGCCCCCCGAGGGCCAGGCAGAGGATCTTGCCCAGCACTACGTGCTCAGCATGGCCACACCGGGACCCCTGGGACGGACACAGGGACTGGCAGGGATGCGTCACCTGTGCCGAGTGCTACCTGTGGGGACACCGGTGCCGCACAGGTTTGCCCGTGGTAGGGCTGGCTCAGGCACCCCGTGGTAGCCCACGGCTCCCAGGGAGGGCAGGGAGCGCTGGGCTGTGCTGGCCACAGCCCCCAACCACAGCACAGTGGCCGTGGGGCACAGCTGAGGGGCAAGGGAGCGGCTGTGGTAGCAGCCATGGGCCGAGCTGTTCCCAGGACAGTAGATCACCCTCGGCACAGCGTTTCCGGGGACTCCCAGCCAGCTCCTCCTGGACCACCGCCCGGGATTCCGGGCCCACCGGGTTTCCCTGCCGCGGGGGTGGTTGCAGGGAGTCCCCGGCTGCCGCTTTGCCGGGGACAAAGCCCCGTCCCCTCCGGACCGTGACGGAGGGGCGGGGGCCGGGCCGGGTCCCGTGGGGGCGGTACCGGTCGAGATCCGCCCGCCGCCTCTTCCGAGCGGCCCGCCCCGCCCGGGACACCGGCGGGGCTGGGGCTGATCGGTACGACCGGGAACGGCTGGGAAGGGCTCGGGGACACATCAGTAATGCTCGGGCGGGGCCGGTTCGGTCCGGCCGGGCGGGGCTCTGCTCGTGGCTGCTGCGCCCGGTGCCGGAGCGGGGCGGGCGGGCGGGGGGCCGGGCCGGGCTGGACCGGACCGGACCGTAGCAAGCCGCTGAGCCCCTTCTCTCCCCGCAGGTCTGCAGCGCCCGGGCGGCTTCGCGGCCGCGGCGGAGCCCCGCGGCTCGGTCCGGGATGGCGGCGCGCCCGGTGCTGCCGGTCCTGGCGGCGCTGCTGCTCTCGGCGGCTCCGGAGCCTGTCCCGCGGGTCAGCCTGCCCTACGGTGAGTGTCCGCTGACCTCCGGTGGGTGAGGGTCCGCCGGCCGCGGGGAAGGGAGCCAGCCCTCCCCGGAGGCTCCGGCTGGCGTCTCCCCCGGGGCGGCGGAGCGTCCCTCGTCCCCCCGGGCTCTCTGCGCCGCGTGGAAACGCCGTGTGACAACCCCGGCAGCTCCCCGGGACACCGGGAACCCCCTGTCAGCGGGACATGGAGCCAGGGCTGGGGCAGACCCCGGGGATGCTGCGGGCTGTAGGGACACGCACCGAGGGTGGGTGTGCCTGGAACACCCAGGGGTGCCGGTGCTTCGGCAGGCAGGGCAGTGGTGGTGGCCGTGTGCTGTACAAGGTGGGGTGGGCTGAGCCAGCCGAGGACTCTGCCCGTGGGCTCCCTCCCTGCTCAGGATGTCCCTGGGATTGGGGGCACGCCACAGCCCCTCACTGTGCAGAGCTCAGCTCCGCACAGCTCTGAGCCCCACTGCGGGCACTTGTCAGCTGCATGGCCCCAGAGCGCTGGGGACTGCCCTGGGCAGGGGCCAGGGAAGGACATCCCGGAGGGCGCTAGGCCAGGCAGAGCTGTAACAAGTGGGAGGCCTGGTTGCAGCCCCCTCCTGCCCTGCAGAGCCCCCAGCAGCTGGCACAGGCTGGGCGAGCCGTGGGGGCACGCTGCTTGGGCTCAGCCCTGGCAGCTGTGCTGTGTGTGGGAGCCACCCACGGCTGTGCTGCCAGAAGGTGGCTGGATCCAGCTGCTGCCGGCCAGCAGAGCCCATCCCGTCCAGTGCTGGCCGGCCTGGGAGGGTGCCGTGGTTTGGGCAGCTGCGAGCACTCCCTGGCTCAGCGTGCTGCAGCTCACTGGTGTGGATGTGGCCCCACCACATGCGCCCATGACCGCTGGCCACGGCCGTGGTGGCTCCAGCAGATGTGGGACCTGCTGAGTTGGACAGGAGGCTGGGACCCAGTGAGACAACCAGCTCGGCGTCATGCCATGCTGTGCCGTGCCGTGCCGTGCTGAGCCACACTGCTTGGCCCTGCCTGCATGGACCGGTTCTGCCCCACGCTCTGCACGCCTCTAAGGCTGTGGGAGTTGTGGGGCTGCAGCCACGGACAGTGCCTAGAGGTCCCAGCCTGGACCCCAGTGATGCAGGGAAAGCTGGGCACGGAGCACGGGCCAGTGGCCAGTGTGTGCCCGGTGGTGGCTCCCATGGAGCGTGGCCACGTGGGGCTGTGGTTGGTGGGAGGGAGGAGCTGGGAGCTGCTCCCCTGGGAGCACTGGATGTGCCTGCAGCAGGTTTGTCTGGAAGAAGCAGGTCTTGTCCTGACAGGTCCCTGGCAGCCACACCAGCAGCCAGCTCCCCATGCCAGCACGGCTCTGCAAGGCACAGGGGCCCCTCTGCTGCCGTGCCCTCCACGGGTGGCATCACCCCTCCGCAGGGTGCAGGATCCCTCGCAGGGGATGCACTGCTATATCAGCTTCCTGCTCTCTGCACCACTGTGTGAGAGCTGCGCTGGTGCTGGGGCCAGCTGAGCCCCGTGGCACGGGGGAGGTGCTGCCCCATCCAAAACCTGGGGTTTGTGGGGCAATGGGAGGTGAGACCCACGGGGTCCCACCCCATAGCACCATTGCCCCACAGCTCCTCCACCCCCCACACTGGGCACTGGCAGGGTTTTTGGGACCCTGGCAGGAGCTCTGGGGTTATCCTGGTGGGACTCTGGGAGCAGGCAGGGGGTTGGGGGAGGTCAGGGGGTCCCCAGAGTGTCAGGGGTCAGGGAGTTGGCAGCATGAGTCAGCCCGACGTGTCCCGCTCACACAGCCAGGCCCATCTGATTCAGAGCAGTAGGAGAGGAAGGGCTTCCGGGGCCAGGCCACCCACGCGGGACAGGACGGGCTGGGATGGGACAGGACGGGCGCTCCCTGACTCAGCTTGGCCACTGGCCCGTGTCCGGCATGGGCTGAGCCCCACGGGCTGGGGCAGGAAGGTACTCCCAGCACCCACCTCCCCTGCTGTGAGGTTTGGGTCCCTCTGTGCCTGGGCTGGGCAGCTGCCCCAGTGCTAGGCAGGGCTGTTGTGGCATCCTCAGGGCCAGGACACTGCAGTGTGTGGTGCCACGTGTGTGTGGCAGTGTGGGCAGAGCTGGATCTGGCCCTGGCTGCTGCGGGTGGGTGCCATGGCCAAGGTGCTGGGCAGAGGGACCAGGAGCAGCAGTGGTGCAGGGTCCTGGGGCTCAGGTGCCAGCACGAGGTTGATGCCTGCCACTCTTGCCCCACAGACTCGGCCGAGAGAGTAGTGCAGCGCTTTGAGGCACCTGGTGTGTCCAACTACACGGCCCTCCTGCTGAGCCCCGACGGTGGGACCCTCTACCTGGGGGCACGAGAGATGCTCCTCACCCTCAACACCAGCAACTTCCAGCCCAGCTCCCCAGTTCGTAGGGTGAGCCCAGGGATGGGCTGGGTGGCCCTTAGGGGAGGGAAGGGGCACCTCGCTAGCTGGAGTGCAGGGATCCTCTCCCCACCAGCATTTTGGGTCTGTGTGAGCCATCATGCATTCAACTGCCCCAGAGCATGAGGTTTGAGGTGGGGAGGATGTGGATGCTATGAACAAGGAGGGTGTGCATGGACCAGCCAGGGCCAGGGGGGCTCCCAGTGACTGTCCCTTCTCCACAGCTGCTGTGGAGAGCGGATGAGGAGAAGAAGAGGCAGTGTGTGTTCAAGGGCAAGGACCCCCAGGTGAGCCCCATTGCCAGCAGGCACTGGGGGCTGCAGTGGGTGTGGGCAGTGCCCTGTGCAGAGTGGCTGTGGGTGAGACAGCTGAGCCAAGGGCTGAGTTGTGTCCTCTGACCCTCACAGAGGGACTGTCACAACTACATCAAGCTGCTGCTGCAGCTGAACAGCACCCACCTGTACACCTGTGGGACCTGCGCCTTCAGCCCAGCCTGCGCCTACATCGTGAGTACAGCAACAGGATCCCCCACAGGACCCCCCATGCCCTCAGGGCCCTGCACTGGGGTCCTTGGCACTGGGACAAGTGCTGCTGGCTCACAGCCTCCTCCTGCTGCAGAACGTGCAGCACTTCAGCCTGGAGCGGGACGCATCCGGGAAGGTGGTACTGGAGGACGGGAAGGGACGCTGCCCCTTTGACCCCGAGTACCGCTCCACAGCTGTCATGGTCGGTAAGGCACGACACCCTGGGACTCTCGTCCTTCCTCCCTTGCCCTCCCTGTGCCACCCTGGAGCCCTCGCACACCCTGCAGTGCCTGGGACCTTTACCCTCCTCCCTGTGCCTCCGCCTCCTTGTGTGTGCCCGGCCAAGCTGAGCCGAGGCCGGGCTATCGCAGACCCCGGCGGGAAGCAGGGCCGTGCTGGTGGCACGTGGCGGGTCCCAGCGGGAGCTTGTCTTTGGCAGACGGCGAGCTCTACGCCGGGACCGTCAGCAACTTCCAGGGCAACGAGCCGACCATCTCCCGCAGCCAGGAGAGCCGCATCGCCCTCAAGACCGAGAACTCCCTCAACTGGCTGCAAGGTGAGTGCTGGGGCTGGCACGGCCGCTCAGGGTCCCTTTCCCCCGCAGTGTGGGAGGATGGAGTGGGATGTAGTGGGCCAGCAGTGCTGAGGGTGCTTGTGCCCCCAGACCCAGCGTTCGTGGGCTCAGCCTACCTGCGAGAGAGCCTCCCTGCCGGCAACCCTGAGGGTGACGACGACAAGGTCTACTTCTTCTTCCGTGAGACCGGGAAGGAGTTTGACTATTTTGAGAACACCATCGTCTCCCGCATCGCACGTGTGTGCAAGGTGGGCATAAGGCAGCAGTGGGGGCTGTGCCTGGGGTGTGACTCACTGCTGGGCTGGGGGGAATGTGGGACCATCCTGCAGATCTCCAGCCCCGGGTGCCTGGAGCCCTGCTCCGTTGGCTCAGCACGTGGGGTTCCCTGTGGCCATGGCATCACAGCCTGACCCGTTGTGCCGTGCAGGGGGACCAGGGCGGGGAGCGCGTGCTGCAGCGGCGCTGGACGACCTTCCTGAAGGCACAGCTGCTCTGCTCACACCCTGAGGATGGGTTCCCCTTCAACGTGCTGCAGGACATCTTCGTGCTCACCCCGGGTGAGCTGCACTGGAAGGAGACGCTCTTCTACGGCGTCTTCACCTCGCAGTGGTGAGTGCTGGGGACCCAGGGCAGCACGGGAGGCTCGGCAGAGCCAGGGCCTGATCTTGCCATGGGCTGTGCCTCTCCTCACCAGGAACAAGGGTGGACTGGGCAGCTCGGCCGTCTGCGCCTTCCCCATGGACAGCGTGCAGCGTGCCTTCAGCGGGCTCTACAAGGAGGTGAACCGCGAGACGCAGCAGTGGTACACGGACACCAGCCCCGTGCCAGAGCCCCGGCCAGGCACGGTACGTGGCCCCTGGGCACCTGCCCGAGCACAGGACGCAGCACTGCCCCCTTGCTCTCCTGGTCCCAATGGTTGCCACAGTATGGTCCCCTTCTGAGGGGAAGACTTTCTGAGCCCCTTTCTTTCCCTGCAGTGCATCACCAGCCACACACGGCACCTGAAGATCAATTCGTCGCTGCAGATGCCAGATCGGGTGCTGAACTTTATCAAGGACCACTTCCTGATGGACAGCCCCGTGCGCAGCCAGCCCCTGCTGCTGCAGAGCCAGCGGCGCTACCAGCAGATCGGTGTGCACCGCGCCCAGGGCCTGCACAACACCTACGACGTCCTGTTCCTGGGCACGGGTGGGTGCAGGGGCAGGGCAGGGTGTGTGCTGGGCATAGGTGGGTCAGGCGGGCTCTGGCGGGGCAGGGTGTGTGCCGAGCATGGATGGGTCAGGCGGGCTCTGGCGGGGCAGGGTGTGTGCCGGGCATGGATGGGTCAGGCGGGCTCTGGCGGGGCAGGGTGTGTGCCGGGCATGGATGGGTCAGGCAGGCTCTGGCGTGTGCCGTGCAGCCCGGCCCTGCTCAGCACAGCCCCTCTGTTTGCAGACGATGGGCGGCTGCACAAGGCTGTGCCGGTGAAACGCGGTGTGCACATCATTGAGGAGATCCGCCTCTTCCCTGACGGGCAGCCCATTCTCCACCTGCTGCTGGACCAGGACAAGGCATGAGCCAGGGCAAGGGGGGCACTGGTGGCTCAGCCTGCTCAGGGCAGGTCCTGTTTTTGAGCTGGGGGACACAGACCTGGGAAGGCAGGGGTGTGCAGCAGCCCACCCCGCTGACCCCAGCGTGTCCCCTCCCGCAGGGCCTTGTTTACGCAGCCACCTACGCAGCAGTGGCCCAGGTGCCCTTTGCCAACTGCAGCCTGTACCGCAGCTGTGGGGAATGTGTGCTGGCACGGGATCCCTTCTGCGCCTGGAGCTTGGATGCCTGCCACAGGGTCACCCCACATGTCCTGGCACACTCACAGTAAGTGCTGCACCCTCTGCCAGCCCCCTACACTCCACGGCACCCCACTGCCCTGCCCTCCCTCTGTTCCCAGGCGCTGGGCACAGGACATCGAGGGTGCTGACACGAAGCGGCTGTGCCAGCAGGCCAATGCCTCCCAGCCCCGTCCCCGCTTCCTCCTGCCCCCAGGTGAGCTCCCGCCGGTGCTGCTGTGTGAGTGTGTGTCCTGGGGGCTCCCACACATCCCGGGGGGATCCACACATCCTGCTGCTCCACACTCCATCAGCCCCCTGCCCGCAGCGGGGATCCCCTCCCTGATGTTCCCATGGGTTCTCTCTGCAGCCTCGGGCACCCAGTGCCAGCAGATCCAGCTGCCTCCCAACGCAGTGCAGTCTCTGCCGTGCCAGCTGCTCTCCAACCTGGCCTCACGGCAATGGCTGCACAACGGGGCACTTGTCAACACCTCCTACCTGATGCTGCCCGACGGGGCCCTCATCCTGGTGGGCAGCCCAGAGCGTGCAGGCACCTATGAGTGCTGGTCGCTGGAGGAGGGATTCCGCAAGCTGATGGTCAGCTACTGCGTGGGCGTGCAGGAGCCAGCCCTTGGGCCAGCAAACTCTGGCAGGAAGGTGGCTGCTGGCCATGATGCCCTGGAGACGGTCAGCACATCCCGGAGCACCTCAGCAGTGGGCAGTGCTGCAGCACGGCTGGAAGGCAAGACCTACTGGACCGAGTTCCTGGTGATGTGTGTGCTCTTTGCTGCTGCCGTCCTCGTTCTGGCCTTCTTTGTCCTGCACCGGCACCGTGACGGCATGAAGACCCTGCTGGAGCCCGGTGACCCCAGCAGGCACCAGAAGCCGCCCCGCAAGCCGGTGGAGAGCCTGCCCCTGAATGGCAGCAGCCTGCCCAGCACGGCTCCTGAGCACAAGGGCTACCAGGCCCTGCAGGACAACTACATTGTCAGTACCCCCGTGCATGAGCCCCCGGGACCCCCACGCACCTTCTCTGAGTCAGAGAAGAGGCCTCTCCACGTCCGTGACAGCTTCGTGGAGGTGTCTCCCGCCTGCCAAAGACCCCGGGTGCGCCTGGGCTCCGAGATCCAGGACTCGGTGGTGTGACGGGGATGAGAGCCAAGCCCTCGCCCACGCCTGCCTCTGCTCTGCTGAGCCTCGCCGGAGGGTGCACGGCTGCCAGGGTCCGTGTTGTCTGTGTGTGCATGCCCAGAGCCTGGCACCCACACTCTGCGGCAGCACCCACCGGCCAGTGGGGTCTAGACCCTCGCGGGCTCCCTGGGCATCGCCTTGTGGGTGTGAGGGTGCCACACGCCTTCCAGGGACCTGCAGGATGGTTCCAGCCCAGTGTCCCTGCTGCAGGGACAGACACGGCTCCTGGCTCGGGCTGCTGGTGCAGCCCCGGCTCTGCCAGGCCCTGACCCCCTCTATGCAGAGGGCAGGAGGGGGCGGCCGCAGACCCCTTGTGCCCCAAAACTCACTGTGACGTCCCGCTGTGGGACCCAGGGCCAGCGTGCGGCTGGGCGGTGCCAGCCCCGCGGCATGTGCTGTGTGTCTGTGCTTGGTTCGTTTTTGATATGTGGAAAATGTGAATTGTGTCCGGGGAAGGGGAGCTGGGAACAGCTTCCCCTGTGCTGGGTGGGCAGGGACACTCCTGCAGCCCCACGTGCGTGTGCAGAAACGTCTGATGTTTTTATATAAAGTCCTTCAGACACGTCTGTGTGCAGCAGGGCTGAGAGCCTTCCTAGCCAGAACCATCCCAGTTGGCCCCATGGAGTGCAGCCATGTCTGTCTCTCCCTGCAGGCAGAGGAAGATCTGCCCATGGCAGAGGCCAGAGCACTGTGCTGGCCATCAGATCTGTGGGGTCCCCTCCTCTTGTGCTTGGCTGAGCTCTGGGCCAGGGCGCACAGGGCCCTGCAGGGACAGTGGCTGTGTGTCTGTGGAGGGACAGTGCCTGGGGCTGTGCCAGCTTGGGCAGGCTGTCCCTTGGGCAGCCCTGGGCTGTCCTGGGGCTGTGCCTGGAGGTCTGTGCTGTGGCAGTGTGGTGCAGGCAGAGCAGGGAGTCCCTGTGTTGGGGAGTGCAGAGTGATGGGGTGATGCCATCCTGGCACCCTGAGAAACAGGAGAAGGTGGAGGTGACCAGGGGTAAGAAAATTTGGTGCCTGGGGCTGGGAGGAGGGCAGCCCCCAGCAGGAGAGAGGCTGTGACAGTCTCCTTCCCAGGACCACAGTGTTGTGCTGCATGTGGGACCCACGGCCTGCCCAGGGAGCATCAGCTCCTTGTCCCCATCCCACCTTGCTTTGGGCAGACCCTAGACACTTTGCCAGCAGGATCTGACTCTGTGGTGGCTGAGGGTGAGGCCTGGGATTGCAGCCAGGGCTGCTTTTGAGCCCTCACACAACTGGGAAGTACCGGCAGTGCCAGGACAGGGCTGGGGAAAGTGGGGAGCTCCACACAGAGCTGGCGTGTCTAGGCAGGATTCCTCCGAGGGACCAGCAGTGCCTTGCTCCCAGGTGGACCCATGCACTGAACTTCCTGCACAGCCTGTTCTGGGACATCAAAAAAGCCACTGGAGGCGTTGGCTGGTGAGCTGCCAGCAGCCACAGCCCTGGGGCTGTAGGGGCACAGGCCTCAGATACTGTCAGCACCGTGGGGCAGCGAGCTGGAAGGGCCAGGAGCAGCAGCCACTGTGTGAGAAACAGCCCTGAGAGCCATCAGCTGCTTTGCCCCAGTGTGGGGACTCTGCTGGAGCTCAGGCTCCACACCAGCCCTGGCAGGGCCACAGGCCAGGGCAGGGACGATGCCTGGACAAGGACAAAGGACCCTGGTGCTGCCTGCCCGGGATTCCCCTGGTGCCTCTGGCCTGAGCTCCTTGCGCTGCCCAGAAGGATCCCGGTGTGGAGGAGGGAGGGAAGGAGCTGCCCATGGAGAGGGCTGTCGTGGAGCAGGACGTGGAGCCTGTCCCCTGGAGCGGCGGCTGGCACACAGGCAGAGGCCTGGCAGGAGCCCATGTCCCCAACAGCCTCGTGGCACCCGTCCCACAGCCGGACAAAGGCAGCAAAGAGCAAGGGTGAAACCGGAGCCCTTTAATTGTGTCCTCGCAGGGACTGGGGGAGGAAGAGGCCAGGGCAGCAGCGCAGCTGCTGTGCTGGAGCAAAGAGAGAAAGGGAGGAGGAGGAGGAGGAGGAGGAGTGCAGGCTTTGAGCACAGCCGTGGGGGGACAGCTCTGCTGTGGAGTGGCACCTGTACAGTGACTCTTGGGTGACTGCTCAGAGAAAGCACCCCCATCTGGGTTATTGCTCGTGAAAAATGATCCACGTTTTGGTTATTGCTTAGAGGATCCAGGTTCGGGTTATTGCTCAGAGAAATGGATCCATGTGGCAGCAGGGAGGCTCTCAGAAATACAGGAGAGGCAGGAAGAGGCTGGCAGGGGAGGCAGCTCCCTGCCTGCTGCTGGAAGGCACAACTTAGGAATTGGTCCTGGGGGCAGAGAGGGGCTATGCTGGTGCAGAGTGGCCCCAAGCAGGAGCAGCTCTTCCTCCCTCACCTGCAGAGCTGCCCTTGGAATGCATAAGGATTCAAATTCTAGAGCTAGGACAGCAGGGGGGCTGCAGGACAGGCAGATTCCTGGGACCCCCTGCTGCCAAGCAGGCACCTGAAAGGGGAGCAGGAGAGTTCCTGCCCAAGGCGTTGCAGCACAGCCAGGCCATTGAGGGGCCGGGCTTGTGCTCTCTGAAAGAGGAAATGGCTGAGCCCACAAGGAGCTGCAGGAACTGGAGGAGTGCTGGAGGAGCGTTGCTGGACAGCCACGGAGCTCACAGGACAATCTTGAAGGAGCTGCAAGAGATATGACAGGATCTGCACCTGCGTGCTAGTCACACAAAGGGTTTACAAGTCCCCAGCACCAGAATCCCCATGCGGGAGAGGCTCTGCAGAGCCAGCCTGGGATGCAGAGCCCTCTGCCATTACAGCAGACTTGGCACAGGGCAGCCCTGCCCTCCTGCCACCCCTAGCTCTGCCCAGTGAGCAATCAGGTGATGAACCCCCAGCCAGCCTCTGGAGACCAGCGCACCTGGCAAAGTCCGGGGAGCGGGAGACAACGTGCTGGAATTCGGAGAGGTTGATGGTGCCGTCCTTGTCGATGTCGGACTCTTCCAGGATCTGTGGGGGAACGTGAGCACTGAGCTCTGTGCCTGGGGCTGTGCAGTGCCCCTGCCCTGGCCAGCGAGCCTCACGTTTTGGATGAGCTGCTCCATCTCTGCGCTGCTCAGCCGGGACTCCTCACCCTGCCCTGTCAGGCAGTTCACCAGTTGCTCCAGGTCCTTCCTGTCCAGAGTCCCATCGTCATCAAAGTCTGTGAGGAGAGACAAGGTAGGTTTTGGCAGGGCTGCAGTGACCCCAGAGAATCACAAGCACCGACACTGCACCACTCTGTGCGCCTCACCATGCCAAACCAACTGTTCCCACAGGGGGTTCCTAAAGCCACCATCCCTGTGGGTGCTCCAAGGGCACTGCCAGCACTCCTGAACATTGATTCATCACCCTGCTCCGGCTTCCTCGAGGTGCAAGGATCCCAGAACACAGCACCTGTCCCCAGCCTTACCAAAGATGCGGAAGGCATAGTGGGATTTGACGTCAGAGGTGGCAGAATCGCTGAAGACACTCAGCATGTCAAGGAAGTCTTCAAAGGACATGCTGTCATCCCTTGTCTCTGAGGTTGAGAACACATGGCAGATCCGGTGCTGGAAGGGGTTTGCCTGCAGACACAGGAGCAGCTCAGCAGGGCTGGGCTGTGCTGGCTCCATCAGGCACACCTTGGCTGTGGCTGCTGCTCCAGCAGGTGAGCAGGTGCCCCACTCTGCCACTGCTCTATCACCCACAGCACGGCCAAACCTGTCCTGTGCACCTCCCCGTGCACAGCCCCGTGCAGCAGGGATAAGCAGGATCCCCTGTGGCACAACAGGAATCCCCAGGATCCTGCACAGCAGGGATCCCTGGGATCCTCAGCTGCTCGGTGGGGACGAGAAAGCTCTTTATTGGCACAGCTGAGGACAGAGCACTGGCAGAGCGAGGCCCCGAGCCGGCAGCAGCAATGTCCCGTGTCTGCCAGGCACCATACCCGCAGCTCAGGCAGCGTCAGGATCTGGCTCTTGGGAACCCGCGCGGAGAAGGCGTTCTCCCTCTCCTCCTTTGGCAGCAGTTCACTGAATCTCTTGTAGGCACTTTAAGAGGCAAGAAAAAGAGCGGTTCTGTGGAGCGAGCTGGGTGGCAGCAGGCACCGACCGTGCCGGCAGCGATTCCCAGGGCGGGTGCCCCTTCCTAGGACAGGGTGGCCCGTTCCCGGGGCGGGGTGGCCCGTTTGCACAGCTCCTGCCAACTCTGGGGCTACCCGGGGGTCCTACAACTGCTCCGGAACCAGGGAGAGGAGCCGGTCTAGCTGCTGCCCACCCCGGGCACCCTTCAGAAGGGTCACCGCGGGCTCGGGCTGGCCCCCAGCCCTACCCCGCTGGCCAGGGCGTCACCGCCAGCACCCGCGGACCTTCGCCCCATCACAGCCGGCTTTTAGGGAGTGCCACCGGCACCTCCCAGCTCAGCTGGGCGTCCGGCGGAACCGGAGCCCTGGGACAGGGCCGGAGCTCTCTGTGCCCCGCGGACCGGGCTGGCACCGGGGACACGGGAGGCCAGGGTCCGCGCCTCCATCCCATCCCACTTACGGAATTCCGGTACTTACAGCAAGATCTCCTGCTTGCTCAGGAACGTCAGCTCCTGCGGGGAGAACACGGGTCAGCGCCGGCAGCGGGGCCAAGGCCTGACCCAGGGCAGCCCAGCCACGGTTCCTTCCGGGACCGCGCCGCCCTGCCGTGCCCCCCGCTGCAGCCGGTGCCGGTGTCGGTACCTGGTACTCGCCCAGCAAGTCCCGGGGGATCAGGCTGGCCGAGCCGCCCATGGCGCCGCTTCCCCCCGCACGTCACTCGCCCTCCGCGGAACTGCCCGCCCCGGGCGGGGCAAACACACCCACAGCACAGCCAGCCCCGCCCGCCCGGCACACGCCGGAGTCCCGGCGCCGGCTACCGCGGAGATGACGGCCATGGCGGGAGGGGAGCCGGGCGAGCCGAACCCCGAGGAGTTCGTGTACGGCGAGGAGGACTTCGTGCTGCAGGCAGCCGGCTGGGGCGACCCGGACTCCGCACCCTCCCGGTTCGACCGGGTGCTGCTGGCGGGCTGGAGCGACCGTATGGAGCGGGGACTGTTCCGGTACCGGCTGGGACCGCTGCCCACCCGCGTCCTGCCCGGCCCCGTGCGCCTCGTGGCGCAGCTGAACGAGCAGCGCAGCGCGGAGCGCCGCCCGCCGCAGCCCGTCCGCAGCCTGCGGGATCCCTTCGACCCCGGCGCCTTCAACTTCACCCGGCTGCGCCCCGCCGAGCTGCTGTTCCGTCTGCGCCGCACCGGCGGCCCGGGGCCGCCGCCCGAGCCGCTGCTGGTGGCCATCAACGCCAGCCCGCTGGAGCGGGGACACGTCCTGCTGCTGCCGGAGCCGGCGCGGCGGCTGCCGCAGGTGCTGACGGCCCCGGCGCTGCGCGGGGCGCTGGAGGCGGCGCTGCTCAGCGCCCACCCCGGGTTCCGCGTGGGCTTCAACGGGCTGGGCGGCGGCGCCTCGGTGAACCACCTGCACCTGCACGGGCTCTACCTGGACCTCCCGCTGCCGCTGGAGGAGGCGCCGGCCGAGCCGCTGGGGCCGCGCCTGGGGCTGCTCCGCGCCGGACCGGCCCCCGCCTTCCTCTTCTTCGCGGCCGGCCCCGCGGCGCTGGAGCCGGTGTCGCGGGCCGTGTGCCGGGCGGCGGAGCACCTGGGCGCTGCCGGGCTGGCCTGCAACGTGCTGGCCACGCGGGGCGACCCGCCGGCGGGGCCCGGGGCCGGAGGCGGCCGCGGGCTGCGGGTGCTGCTGTGGGCGCGCCGGCCCCTGTTCGGCCCCAAGGCGGGCGAGCCCTTCGCCGTGGCGTTGTGCGAGCTGGCAGGGCTGCTGCCGCTGCCCGCCGAGCCGCTCTACCGGGACATCACCGAGGCGCAGGCCCTGAGCGCCATCCGCCAGCACCTGCTGCCCGAGCCCGAACTGCTGCACCTGGGCGGGGAACTGGCGCGGCTGCTGGAGAACTGAACCGATGGCACGGGCAGCGGCCGGAGCGGTGAACCGATGGCACGGGCAGCGGCTGCAAAGCTGAACCGATGGCACGGGCAGCGGCCGGAGCGCTGACGGCTCCGGGACGGCAGGGGCCGCTGTGGCTGGAGGACACGGAAGTGAATGTCACGTGACCGCCTGGGCCCGCTCTGCCCGCCGTGCCCGCGTCTCTATGGTGCGGTCGCCATGGGAACGCGGCGGCCCCCGGGAGCGGCGCGATGGCGGCGGCGGGCGGCGGCGGCGGGGGAAACGTGGGCCCGGGCCCACCCCCGGGAACCCCTCCGGGCGAGGAGGCGGCCGTCGCGGCGGCCCCCCCGGACCGTCCCGCTGCCCCCGCCGGACCCGAGCCGCGGAGGAAGCGCAGGCGAGTGCCGGGCCGCAGCCCCCCGGCAGGGTCCGGCTGGAGCCCGTCCAGCCGCTCCCGGAGGCGCCTCCCGCAGCCTCACTCGCCCCCGGCCCCGGCCCCTTCCCGGCCCCACTGCTCCCCGTGGGACAGTGCCCAGGCGGTGCCCGGCGCTCCCCAGCCCCCGGGAGCCGGTCGGGGATCCCGCTGACCCAAAATAAACAGTGTTCCCCTAGAATTGCCCCAACCATCCCCTGTGTGACACACCCAGGCGCGGCTCCGTGCCCAGGACCAGCCTGCCGGTCTCCTCAGGGCTGGCTTGGTCAGAGTGCCCGGTGTGCTCTGGGGGATCGGGGCTGTGTCCCCGCTCTGTGCTCTGCCCGGTGCCTCGCTGAGCTACTGTCATCTCATTTCTATTCCAGTGTCCCTTCCATCAACCTGAGCGGCTGCAAGTACGAGAGTGGTGAGTCAGAGGGGTCCCTGCAGGCTTCCAGCCCACACCCGCAGGCTCTCCAGGTGCTGGCACCCAGTTCCCACTGGTTTATTTACTGCTGCTAGCGACTGGCACTGGACCCCTGTGTTAGTAGGGAGTTTGTCACACTTTGGATTGAGATTTCTCACAATTTAAAATGTGCAACAGCAGCATGAGCCCTCAACATCCCCCACACTTGCATTTGACAGCTGTCTGGTAAAATGGGCAAGAAGGGTTCCATCAGGTGTAGTGCAAGGCAGCACCTGATGACAGCTGAAGACAGGACCTGGGGGTTGTCAACTGTTCAAGGTAAAGTTGGTGGTGAGCAGGCAGGATCTGTACCTGGAACCTCTCCCTGTGCTGTTCATCCCTGGTGACTCCAGGGAGCTGGTCCACTCTCCCCTCCCACTCTTCTTTCCTTCCGCAAGCTGGATCTTTAAAGAACAAACTCCTGGCCCTTGAGGGGTGTTTTTAATCTACTTTGCTAAGGGATCTTGGTAAGCATGGATCTCCATCACCTCCTTAGCCCTGCCAAATTCATATTTGGTACTTGCATGAACCATCCCAGCAGAGACCTTTTCCCGCTGAGCTGTGTTCTGCTGCTGAAAGACCTTTTATTTGGGAGATTAAATTCACACCTTTGCAAGACTTGTGTCTGCCTGTGAGGTCTAAGACCCATGGGAAGTTCAACCCTGCTGTTGAGGGACCCTGGCATCTCAAGACAGGTGGAGTTGGAGGGTTAAAAGCTCCCGGAACACTTGCAGCCAGAGGCTCGGGAGGTTGGCCAGATAAAACTGGTGTTCCTGACACCTTCCAAGAGGTCGTGCCAATACCTTATACCTCTGAGAGGGGAACTGAACCCCGGGAGCTGCATACTCCATCCCTTGTTATTCTGGGGGCATGTCAGCCCCCTGTATGTGGCTCCTCAGCCAGAGACTTGTTTCACATTCCGTCCCTGGTTATTTTGGGGGTTTATCAGTCCCTGTACATGTCTCCCCTGCCTGGCCCCTGTCACTGCTTGCCTTGGCACAGTGCGGCGGGCGGCGCAGCACTGCGGGCTGAAGGAAGCGGGAGAAAACGAGGAGTGGACGGTGTACTGGACGGACAGCTCGGTCACTTTGGAGCGCCTCATGGAAATGAAGCGCTTCCAGGTAAACAAAACAGCTGCCCAGCAGGAATTGCTCAGGAAGGAGGGTGACACAAGGCTGGCTGTGGAACAGCATGTGGCAGAGCGAAACAGAAGCACCCAAAGCAGTGCCATGTGGCATCTGTGCCTCGGCTCCAGGCCGCAGGGTCAGGTGCCTTTGCTTGTGCCATGTCCTTGGCTGTCGTCACCAGCAGCATTCAGCAGCTATGGTGGGAGCAGGAGCGTTCCAGCCCTGTGATGTGCAGTAAAATAAACAGCCGTTGATGATAAATGGCTCTTATGCTGCTCCAGGGCTAAGATGGAATAGGCAGATAAATCACTAGTGAAGCTCAGATAAAGCAGCAGTAGCAAGTCTCACCCCTCAGCAGTAGTTCAAGGCAGCCACAGGCTTGGCTTCCCTCTTGCTGCTGGTTCTCCGTGCACAGGCTCTCCTCGGGGCTGGGAGAATCCATCCCCACAGGAGCTCTGCTGATGTGGGTTTTTTCTGCCCCACTTTCAGAAAATCAACCACTTCCCAGGCATGATTGAGCTGTGCCGCAAGGACCTGCTGGCTCGCAACCTGAACCGCATGCTCCGCCTCTTCCCCAAGGAGTACAACATCTTCCCCCGCACGTGGTGCCTGCCAGCCGAGTGAGTGCCACGGGGACGGGTGGCCCAGGGAGGGGCACCAGAGCCCAAACCTTCAGTTGCTTTGGCACGCACCGTGGTGACCTCTTGCACAGACCTCCCAGGACAGGTGGAGATGTGTGCAGGGAAAAGGTGGGATGTGGCGAGCTGGGTCAGCTCATGCATGGACCAATCTGTGACTCCTGGAGATTAGGAATGGGGTTTTGATTCATACCCTGCAGAAATTCAGTGTGTGCTGGCCTGCTGCACCATGGTTTCAGTACCCAGCTGTTAGGAGAGAGTCCAGAGGGGTATTTTTTGCAGATAGTGATAGTCACTCCTTCCTTGCACAGCTACGGAGATTTCCATACCTACAGTTCCATGAGGAAAGCAAGAACATTCATCTGCAAGCCCGACAACAGCTGCCAGGGAAAAGGGATCTTCATAACCCACCACCCAGAGGACATCAAGCATGGGGAACGCATGATCTGTCAGCAGTACATCTCTGAGGTACTGGGACAGTCCTGGAACATCGGGGGAGGATCCCAGTCTCCACTCTGCCAGCATCCCCCCTGCTCCCCGGGTCCCCTCAGCTCTGCTGGAGGTGTTGGTGGCCGCAGCACGTCGGGGACACAAAGCTTGTCCCTCTGCTGAGCAGCACAGGCAGACAGAGCAGTTCCTCACCTCACCTTGCTCCTGCCTCTCTCCTCACAGCCCTTCCTCATCGATGGCTTCAAGTTTGACATGCGCATCTACGTGCTGGTCACATCCTGTGACCCACTGAGGATTTTTCTCTACAAGGAGGGCCTGGCCCGGTTTGCCACCATGAGGTACATCGATCGCAGCACGAGAAACCTGGTAAAAAGGAAGTCTCAAAAAAACTCATATAGTATCTGTAGATGTCAGTCCTTAACTTGTCCTGGGGGCATTCCAGGCCTTGGAAAGGCAGGTATTGGGGGTTGCAGGAGTCCCAGCTTGATGCTTTCCTGTTTTTCCTCTATTCCCCTTCTTCTTCCTCACAAGAGGTATTTCAGGAGGGACAGTAGATCTACCCCAAGGCCCCACATGTGGGCTGTTTACTGCCATTACCACAGAATCCTGGAGCTATTTGCTTGGATGGAACCTTGGAAGGTCTCCAACCTCAAAACTTGGTCAACAATTAATTAGTATCTGATTTCTCAGGGTCTCACCCTATCAGGTTTTGAAAACCTGCAGAATGAAGCCCCCTTGGTGTCTCTGGGCAGCATGTTCTGCTTCTGGCCCTGATAAGCGTGCTCAGTTCTACACCATTCCTACTCTGCCCATGCTTCAGGCAGAAAAGAACATGGGAGTATCTGGTGGGGCTGTTCCTGTTCCTGCTTAATGGTTTGGAGTGAACAAACATCCCTTGTGGTTCCCTGCCAGGGTGACCTCTGCATGCACCTGACCAATTATGCAATCAACAAACACAATGAGAACTTCGTCGAGGACGACACGGTGGGCAGCAAGAGGTACTGGCATGTCTGAGCACTGCAAGAGCACTGCCTGGGGACACTGCTTTACCTCAGCTTTCCTGGGGTGACACAGCTGAGCCCTTACCTCTTCCTGTTCCCTGTGCAGGAAGCTGTCCACCCTGAATGCCTGGATGGCAGAGCACAGCTATGACACATCAAAGCTCTGGGCAGATATTGATGACATTGTTATAAAGACGCTGATTTCAGCTCACCCTGTGCTGAAACACAATTACCAGAGCTGCTTCTCCAACCACCCTACTGGCTGCGCCTGCTTTGAAATCCTGGGCTTTGACATTTTGCTGGATAGAAGGCTGAAGCCATGGCTGCTGGAGGTGAGGAAGGAGTGGAGAGCTCAGAGCTGGGGGGCTGGGATGAACAGGCCTTGTGTGATTCAAAAGGGCCACCCTGCCCACAGAATTAACCAGGCTGTGAAGCCAAACAACCTGCTGTGAGCAGGATCCAAGAGAACCCATTTCCTGCACACCACCTAACAACGGGGATTTTCCCAAGCCTTCAGACCCCTTGTCCTGTGAGCACCCTGAATTTGTGACAGCTGCCCCCTGCCTGCACCCTGTGGGGTGGGATCCAGGTAACCTGTGGTACAAGTGGGCAACACTGCAGCAGTGTGTGGCTTCCTGCTCCCTGTCTCTGACACAGAGAGCATCCATGGACAGTGTGGGGCACTGGGGCCATGGCTGGGAGCTGGGGTGCCACGTTAGGTTACCTGCTTGTCTTGGCAGGTGAACCACTCTCCCAGCTTCAGCACGGATTCTCAGCTGGACCACGAGGTGAAGGATGCCCTTCTGTGTGACACCTTCAACCTGATCAACGTGCACGCCTGCGACAGGAGGAAGGTGCTGGAGGAAGACAAGCGGCGGGTAAAGGAACGGCTCCTTCAGGCCAACCAGACTCTCCGTGAGTCCAGGTATTGCTGTCCCCCACAGTGCTGCAGGTCCCCAGTGAGCAAAAACAGGGCTTGACACAGCAGGGTAACACCAGGGCTGGCTGGCCCTGCCTCAGGAACTGGGGGTAGCCTGGGCATGGACCCTTCTCCAGGGCAGGAGGCCTTTCCAGGGCTGAGGGTTTCCCCTTCCTCTGTCTGCATGTCCTTGCACAAGCCCATGTTCAATGAGCCTGCTGCCTTGCAGGCAGGGCGTGGCTCTCTCCAGCTGCTGCTTCCATCAGGAGTCCTGGGATAACCCTGGGACATGCTGAGTTTGTCAGTCCTGCACTCTGCCTGTCCCAGAGCCTCCCTCCACAGCCTCCCTCCTCCCTCCCTCCTGTCCTCCCTCCTGCTGCAGGCGCAGGGAGCAGGAGAGCAGCCAGGCTGCCTGGCTGGCACAGGCTGAGACCTACGAGAACGAGCACCTGGGGGGGTTCCGACGCATCTACCCAGCACCTGGGACAGAGAAGTACGAGCCATTCTTCCAGCAGAGCAGGTCCCTCTTCCAGGAAACAGCATCATCCAAGGCACGAGAAGAGCATGCCAGGTACACTGCTCCTGTGGAACCCCACTTCTCACAGGTGGCATGGAGGGCACTTGCTCCTGATCCCTCCTGGGGAGCAGCTCTGCTGCTTGGCAGGTGCAAGAAAGCAGAGAGAGTGGGAGGGGAAAGGAAGGAGCCTGCACAAAGGAGGAAAGAGGCTCTTTTCAGGTGGACTCCAAAGAGGCAAGGGCGGTACACCACTGACTTTTGGACCATGGAGACACCATTTCCCAAATGTCCCCTTCCCTTTTGGCAAGCCTAATCCAAGGACATTTCTCTTTTAAAAAGTTTCTTTACAACCATCCCTGTCCCATCTCTTGGCATGCTTCTATTATGGGCTATTCACACAGAACTTTGGCCTGTAGTAAATGTCCTCAGGTTGAAGGCTGCCCCACAGCCTTCTGCTACTGTGGCTCTGAGCCATTGAGTGACTCTGCTGTTCTGTGGCAGGCAGCACCTGGAGGAGATTCGCCTGAAAAATGAAAAGCTGGAAGCTGCCACCAGGAAGAAGAAAACAGAGAGGATCCAGAATAAAAGCACAGCTCCTACAATCCACCTCTCCCACAGAAGCACCAAGTCATGGGATAGAAAGGTACCTCAGTGTCAGCGTTGTCTGTGGGCTCTCCAAGTCAGTGACATGGCTCTGGGAGCTATGCTGAGCCATTGCTGCACCCATGGAACAGAAATTCCAGGTTTCACTCCCTGCATGAAGTTCAGAGTCAACAACTTGTGTTGGCAGTACTTGCAAGCACCTGTGTTGTGCCTTTCCACTTTGGCTCTCACTGGGATTTCTGTCCCACTCTGAGACTGTAACTGTCCCCAGGGCTGGAGCAGCTCATGGCTTTGTCTCACCTGTGCACTGTCCCAGCTTCAGCCTTGCTATAGCTCAGGTGTTTCTGTGCCGAGGTGCAGCGCATACAGTACAACTCCATGCAGCCCCAGGATATTGTGGAACATGAAGAGAAGAGGAGAGTGAATTCTCTGCTGCGGCGTGAGAAGCTGATCCGAAAACTGGGCATCATCGACCAGCTTTCCCGGCTGCTCCTCACACCAGACACCCAGGAACCCTGTGCCCTCCAGAACCAGGTAATGGCACTGCCCAGAGCCACCCCACACAGCCGAGGCAGAAGGATGGAGAGAAGTGAACTGGGCACTGAGCATCTCTGGTGGGGCAGGATGGGGGTCTGCTGCAGGCAGATCAGCTGCTGTGGCTTCAGGATGATGTGAGTCTGGAATGGTGGTGAGGGCATACGTGGGGACAAAGTGTGGGGTGATGCTTTAGTGAGCACCTGGGCATGACTAGAGAAGGCCTACAGAAGAAGGCCTTCTGTAGACTAGAGACTAGGCTTACAGAAGTAAGCCATGCCATTTTCCTTTCCTCCTTCCAGCTGCAGTTTCCCTGGGATGTCGTTGAGAACCACAACACGGATGATGCAATGATGTTTATCTCATTCCTGGAAGTCCCAGCTCAGGACGGCCCTAGAGCCCAGGCCAGGCCACGGCCCATCCCAGGCCCAGATCCCAACGACATGAAGACTCTCTGCGTTCAGGGCAGGAGTGTCCTGTACCACGCACGGCACGAGGGCTCCCGGGCACTGGGCGGGGGCTGGCTGCAGGGCCAGGCCGCGGGGGCAGCCATCACCCAGCCCTGTGTCCACCCTAAGAGGCAGCAGCTGAGAGAACAGCAGCTGAGAGAAGAGCAGCCCCCTGAGACCAGAACCCAGGCTGAAGGCTGTAAGTACACATCACCTTCCTGTGGATGCTCCTGGCCTTACCAGGGTGAGAGGAACGGGTGGGCTGGATGGAGCTCTCAGGGATGCTGGGACACTGCAAAAGAGTCACTATGCTCTGCCTGGGACACTGGCAACCACTGGAAGTCTCTGTCTGAGGCTTGGAGCATCCCATTTGCAGGGACAGGGAAGTACCATGGGTGGTTTCCCAGGATCAAGGGTTGATGTGCAGACAGGGGGAGTGTGAGAAGCCAGGAAGGTCAAAGGGGTGCATTAACTCCTGGAGGTCAGAGGGGACATGGTGACACAGCACAGACCCCAGTCTCTTCCCAGGCCTCCCTCCCACCACACCGCTCCCTGCCCATGTTCTCACCCTCCATCCTCGCCCTGCCTGGCTCCCCAGCATCAGCTTCATCCACTTTGCAGCCTTAGGACCAGGGGAGCAGGGCTAGAGGAGGGGCTGCCAGGACCAAGCCCCACTGGGAAGGGCAGTGGGGACTGCTGACCTGCAGAGCTGCTGGCTCTGCACAGCCCCACACCTCTCTGTGCTGTTCCAGGTGATGCTGGTAGCCTGTCATCCTCCGATAGAGGCAGCTGTCCCCCGGCTTCCCCAGCCAGCCCCGGGCAGGCCACAGGTGATGGCGTCTTCAGCCATCCACCTCTTCCCGTCGCCACTGCCGATCAGGTGGAACACACACCTGCCCCAGACCATGGCAGAGCCTCGCCATGCCAGTGTGTCACATCATGCCAGCACCTTGCCCCATGCCAGTGCTTCACACCTTCACAGCATGAAAAGCACAGGTAACATGGCCAAGGACTCAGCCTTCCTCCCATGTGTGCTTGCATGAGAACCAGGACTTGTAGGACAGGCTGGCTACCTCCATCAGCTCGGGTGCTGAGTTCCCTGACGAGAGCCTGAGCCCAGCATGGCTCCGGCCCCCCGCCCCGGCTAGCTTCACCTCTGCCGGGACCGGAGACCGGTGCTCGTGCTCCTCCTGTCCGTGCCCTGCTCGCTACACTCGCTTCTATCACCCACCACCGACCGCAGCGAAGCCCTCCAGAAGCCAGCTCGCTCCGGACCCGTCGGAACCTCGCTTCCCCCGCCGGCCCCGCCCGTTCCTGGGCCTGTTCCTGGCCATGGCGCTGTTGCTCCAGCGCGGCCTGCGGGCGGTGCCGCTCCTCGCCTGGGCCCCGCGGCGGGCGGCGGCGGCGGCGCGGCCCGGGGACCCGGAGCCGCCGGACCCGGCGCTGGAGGAGAAGGAGAGGTGCGGAGCGGCCGTTCCGCGGTCAGAGCCCGTGCCGGCCCGGGCGCTCACTCGTGTTTCCCGCAGGGAGCGGCGGCGGCGGCGGGCGGCGCGGATGGAGCGGCTGCGGCGGGAGCTGGGCGGGGAGCGCGGAGCCCCCGAGCGCGCCCTGACCTGGCAGGCGATGGAGCAGCTGCGGTGAGCGCGGGGCCGGGCGGGCCGCGCAGCGCCGCGCCCGCCGACCGCCCCGGTGACCGTGCCCGTGCCCGCAGGTTCCTGCGGCAGGAGCTGCCCGAGGAGTGGCCATTGGAGCGCCTGGCCCAGGGGTTTGGTGTCAGCACCGACGTGGTGCGGCGGGTGCTGCGGAGCCGCGGCTGCCCCTCACCGCGCCGCCGCCTGCGGCAGGACCAGCGGGCGCTGAGCGCCGCCGCCACCGCAGCGCCGCCGGGACGGGGAGCGGGGTACGGGCGCGAGGTGCGCGCCCCCGACGGGACGCTGCTGTACCGGCTGCCGCGGGGCTGGGGCGGGCCGGGGCCCGGCGCGCAATAAACGGAGTTGGGACCCGCCTCCGCCTGTGCTGCTTCCGTCGCGCCGGGTGCGGGCTGTGAGGCCGCGGGGATGAGCTCCGCGGCGGCGGGGATGGGCTCCGAGGCCGCGGGGGTGAGCTCCGAGGGGCCGGCGGTGGGCTCCGAGATGGCGCGGCTGCTGGAGGCGGTGGACTTTGCCGCCAGGAAACACAAGGAGCAGCGGCGTCTGGATCCCGAGGGCACCCCCTACATCAACCACCCCATCGGTGCGGAAACCCCCCGGCACCGCGCCCCGCTCCCGGGAGACCCCTGCGGCCCCTCTCTCCCTGACCCCTGGGATCCCTCCTGTCCTTGAGCGCTGCCGACCCCCGGGAGCTCCTCACTCTGGTCCCTGGAGAGAACCATGTCCCTTCTCCCGTACCATGTCCTCCAGCCCGATGGGACAAAGCCTCCGAAGCACTGCAGCCCTGGCCCCTTCCCCTGCCCCAGCCCTGTGTCTGAGTGTGGCTGCTGTGGATGGGGCCCACGGGAGCTGCTGAGGGACGCCTGTTCCACAGTCGCACTTGCCAGGCCTGGGGGCAGCTCCCACCTTGGGGGCAGTGCCAGCGCATGGGACCTTCCTGCGTGCCCAGCCAAAGGATTCACTGCGCAGGATGTGTCCATGGGATTTCCCCTGGCTAGGGTCGATCTCGGGGAAACCTCACTGCCCACCCTGCAGCGCAGCCCCCGTATCACCCACGGGAGCCACTGTCCTGGCCCGGAGCTGCCTGTTCCCCGGTGCCTCCTCCCACCTTTCCGCTCTCGCTGCAGGTGTCGCCAGGATCCTGGCACACGAGGCCGGCGTGACGGACATAGTGGTGCTGCAGGTAACGCCCTGCCCGTTCCCTCCCCTGCCCCCCCCCGTTCCCCCCCCTGCCCCACCCCGTTCCCCATTGCTCGGCCCGGACCCCTGCAGTCCCCCTCGTCCCCTCCTCGCCGCAGGCCGCCCTCCTGCACGACACCGTGGAGGACACGGACACCACGTTCTCCGAGATCGAGGAGTGGTTCGGTGCAGAAGTGCGGCGCGTGGTGGAGGAGGTGACGGACGACAAGACCCTGCCCAAGATGGAGCGGAAGCGGCTGCAGATCGAGCGCGCTCCCGTTTGCAGCCGGCGGGCCAAGCTGGTTAAGCTGGCGGACAAGCTGCACAACCTGCGGGACCTGAACCGCTGCACCCCGCGAGGTACCGCCCGCGCCGGCGGCAGCGGCACCTCGGGGACGGGGATGAGCCCGGCTGGTCCCAGGCAGCAGCTTAGCCACAGCTGGCTGTGCCGAGGGGCAGAGGAGCACCGGTGCTGCCCTGGGCCCGGGGCGGCAGTGGCGGGAGCGGGGGGCAGTGTGTCTGTCTGTGTGTTTGTGTGTCTGTCTGCCCGTGTGTCTGTGTGTCCGCGTGTTTGTGTCTGTGTGTTTGGGTCTGTGTCTGTGTGTCTGTGTCTCTGTGCGTGTGCTGTGCTGCAGGTGTGGCGGAGCCGGAAGTGACGTCACGCGTGTCTCCGCAGGATGGTCGGCGGAGCGCGTGCAGGACTACTTCCGGTGGGCGGCGCAAGTGGTGTCCGGGCTGCGCGGGACCAGCGCGGCCCTGGAGGGGGCGCTGCAGCGCTTGTTCGAGGAGCGCGGCGTGGCCACGTGACTGCCGCGGCCGCCTCGGCCAATAAACGTGTGCATAGCTTGGCGTCCCTGGGTTGCCATGGTACCGCTCGCTTCCGCCGCTGCCTCCGCCGACTTCCGGCTGCGCTGCGCCCGCGCTCGGGCGTTCCGGGTGCCGACCCGGTCCCCGCCATGGCCCTCGCCGGGCGGCGCGACGCGCCCGAGCCGCCGGACTTCGGGATCCTGAAGCGGCTGGCGCGAGACCAGCTCGTCTACCTGCTGGAGCAGGTCCGGGGGCCGCCCGGGGCAGGGATCCCGCACCGGGGCGGGCGTAGGGAGTCGGCGGGATCGGTGTTGGCCCTGGGCTCGGGGGTCGGGGGTCGGGAGTCGGGGTCGAGGCTGCAGGGGCTCGGCACGGGGCAGCCGTGGGGTCCCGACCCATGCGCGCCTGCTCGCAGCTCCCCGGGAAAAAGGACCTGTTCATCGAGGCCGACCTGATGAGCCCCCTGGACCGCATCGCCAACGTGTCCATCCTGAAGGTACCGCGGGGTCCGCTCGGGCTGCCGCTGCCCGCCGCCACCGCCCGCGCCCAACCCGCGCCTGTCCCCGCAGCAGCACGACGTGGACAAGCTGTACAAGGTGGAGACCCGGCCGGGCCCCGGCGCCAGCGACCAGTGAGTGCCCCGCGCCGGGGCTGCCGGGCCGGGCTGGCTGCCCTGCTCAGAGCCCGAGCAGGGCTGTGCAGAGAGGGCTCCGTGAGCACGGCCGGGTCCGAGCGCCCCTCGCTGCCCTGTGTGCTGCAGGTTCTGCTTCCTGGTGCGGCCGCGGGTCAGGACCATGCGGTTCATCGCGGGTGAGTGAGGGGCAGCTGCCCCTGGGCCAGCGCTGTGCCCGGGCCCGAGGGGCTCCGGGGTCTCACTGTGCCTGGGGCGATCGGGCTCTGAGAGCCGAGGGGAGCTGTGCCTGGCAGGGTGAGCAGCTCTGCAGGGGCTGTGCGGGCTGTCCACAGATATTGTCAACGCTGACAAGATGTCAGGGAGGAGCAGGAAGTACAAAATCATCTTCAGCCCCCAGAAGGTTAGTGGGACCCACGGTGCTGCCCGTTCTGTGCCTGCCCAGCCTTTGCCCCTTCCACCCCTTCTATAGGCATCAAAAATTGTTTGTTTCTAACCCAGAAATGTTTAAGTAAACCCAAGTGTTCTGACAGCTGGGAAGGCGCTGGGCCGTTCCAGAGCTTTTTCTGCTCGGAGCCTGCTTGGCCCTGAGGGTCTCCCCTTCCCTTCCAGTTCTATGCCTGCGAGATGATACTGGAGGAAGAGGGGGTCTTTGGTGGTGAGTGGGGCTGCAGTGCTGGCTCAGGGAAGCTGACACCGCAGGATTCCAGTTAAATCCCAATGCTGGCATCCCTGTGTGGGCAGGGAGCACGGGTTCTCTCAAGGCTGGCAGATGTGTGCCCACACAGCATCAGCCTCTCTCTTCTGCCTGAGGAGAGGAGACAGGGTCCTGCCACCCATCCTGTCTGAAGCTCCACAGGCCCTGTTTTGGGGTTGCTGTGATTCTTGGGGCTCTTCCTGCCCAGGGCTACATAAGTGTCCCCTGTCCTTGTCCTGAACACAGATGTCACCTGTGATGAATGGTCCTTCTACCTGCTGCCCCTGGATGAAGACATCATTAGCATGGAGCTGCCCGAGTTCTTCCGTGACTACTTTCTGGTCAGTGGGACACTGTGTTGGGGTGACAGCCCTTCCTGTGCCCTGTGCCTCACTGGGGCTGGGGACAAGGTGCTGTTCAGAGAGGAGGTGTGTGGTGTCCTGCTCAGCCCCTCAGTCTGCACCACGGGCCCTGTGTACTCCCCAGGGGCAGCTTTTGTTGGGGAGTGGCTGCTCGCCCCTGAGCTGGCCCCTCTGCCCCTGGCTGAGCAGCTTTGGGGCATCCCGTTGTGTTCCTGGGATGAAGCTCTGTGCCCAGCCCAATCCTCTGTCATGGCAGTCCTTCCCTGCCAGCTGCCCACACTCACTCCCTCGTCCTGCAGGAGGGAGATCACCGCTGGATCAACCCTGTCGCCAGAGCCCTGCAGTTGCTGAACTCCCTTTATGGCCCTTTTGGG